GCATTTGTTCAGAAGTGCTATATTGAAGAGCTGGTCAATGATGTTTACATTGATCTAATTAATATTACACTTAATAACGTTAATTATTAGGTAAACAATGATATCTAAAAAGAATTTTACAATTTTTGGGAACAAGGATTGTGTTATAGGTTGTAATTTTCTCTTTTGAAATAAGGAGGTACAATAAACTTTCATTGGAATCTGCAATTCGATAACATTTTCTTGGACATTTCCTCGAGAAAATGAAATAAGTACATTAATCCGATTTGGATACACTGTTGGTCAAGAAAATTTAGCTTCCAATAATAAGGGTGATCTATCGTTCTCTTATATGAAGATCTTGGCTCCTGTTTCTTGAATAAAAACTTTTAAAGTTAAAACAAATGATATTGCTACTTAGACTCAAGTGGGAAAAAAAAACGATAATAATACGATAAAGTTGCTAAACACTTGTAATTAGTGCCAAAGCTGCTACCCCTTAATAGATTAACCGAGAGTATTATGTATAAATCTACATAATAAGAGATGGGTTTCATTTATTTAAGTTAATTATTTACAGTCCACACTTTGAGAAATTATAAAAAGAAACTAGTCCACACTTTGAGAAATTATAAAAAGAAACTAGCTATGCCCCGCTGTTACAGTCATGATAAATTCGATTTATACCTGACTGTTTCATGTACATTATATAAAAACGGTTGAAAATATTTTTATTTTCTTTACACAGGTCAGAACAAGATTTTCTATGGCTTTAAACCATTTGGAGACAACATGGCCATTTTGTAAAAAAAAAAAAGTGTAAATCGGTCTAATAATTCTAAGCTCACCTAAATTACCATTATCAGGACTATTAAGGTATCCGGAATTGAACTTTCGGGGCACAAAACGATCAAATACATCCCGCATCCAAAACTAAAATACTTCGAAAAATCTTCAATCGTCCTTAACATAGCTACCGCGGCAACGCACCACGAATTAGGCCGCCTCAAAAACCCTCAGCCAGTTGGCACGATCTTGTGCTGCATAGGTCTAGGACTGAAATGGTTGAAAACAACTCGAGACCATATACCTACCATCCAATTCCTGTGAAATCGGTAGTTTGGGGATCACGGAATCTTCCATTTGAGAGACATGGCGAGCCCAGCTAATTCTTAAAATTTTAATGAACTTAACCACGTATACCCCATTCTCCACCACACAGCATGTCTTTTAGAGATCCAAACGTTTTCCTGAGAATTCTTTGCATAAATGTCAGAAGTTTTTCTTCGACTAGATTGGAAAAATTGTCCCGCTATTTAACATGGTCTCATCATTGGAAGCATTTTATTTTTCAGAAGGAAACTCATAAACCAACTTGGGGATCTCCTGATGACCTGCCAGATTGATCAGCTGCTGATAAGCATACACCATAAATCAAATTCCTAGAAAGCAGATATGGATCCCGATCATTATTTGAACTTGGCTAAAATTAGGTTTAGGATATCATTCAAAAGAGTATTAGGACACCAATAAAGAAGACAAATAGAATTAGCAACCTTATGAGCTCTATGATGAGGTGAAAATGGTTAAGTTCATTAAAATTGGAAGGTTAATCTGACCACATCTCTCGAATGGATGATCCCAGGACGCCCAAAACGCTGATGCCAGAGGAATTGCACAGGGCAAGAAGAGTATGCACAGATTATTGCAGTGTTGTATGGGAAGAAAGACCTAGGGCAAGTTGGCCTAGGACGGAATATCTGTGTACTCCAGTAATCTCCAACAAATTGGGAACCGGACTAATGCATTATATTACAGAACCGCACCAATTGGTCGAGACTTTTGGGGACCGCCTAGACCCAGTGATGGATTGTTGCTTTATTGAAGATAATTTAAAAAAGAAAATTTAAAATAGTATGCGTATTAAACCAAAAAAAAAAAGATTTTTTAAATCAATAATGTCTATTCAACATGAAGAGATAATCCTTGAATAAGAACTTTGGACCAGATTGTTGATGAAAAGAGGTTAAGGTAGATTAATTACGTAATTGTGATGGAATCAGACGTAAAACCTCCTTATAAATGTACATTATCTACATTTATCTAATCTACAAATTTACATTAATCTACAAATTAATTTAAAAAGTACATTATCAAATCTCAAATTCTAAAAAAAAAAATCTGGTGAGCGCAACACACAACTTTCACTTAGCTCTCTTCTTTGAATAGAAATTATTTTCTGGCAATGTTTGGCTATTATCAAATTTTTTAAGTGAATTTTAAACGTGATTTTGAAGTGCCACTAGAAACATCACTAAAATTAATAATAAAGAATGTAGAAATTGGAGTTAGTCATTCTGTCAACGGAAAGGCTCGTATATACCAATAGAGGTTTGAAAGTACATCTGAATATTTAACCTACAAATGATTATGGGTTGTAGGACTATTAGTTATTTTCTATTGAAAAGTTTACTAAAGTGAAATTACTCGATTTTCATTGCCTACTATGGATAGGTCAAAAGATGTCACACTAATTTAAGTGGAGAATGTTGGAATTCGATCCGCGATTTGTTGAGGTGACAGGATATGACAAACCGTAAGATTAATGAAAATGGTTATGATAGTAATTTTGTTTAATATTACATTAGAAAATTCGTCTATGATGATGAATTCTTGCTGTATTTCCTCTGCCTATAAATAACTGTTTTTTTGGAATTTTTCGTCCACAATCCAGGGGAAGGAGCGTCCCCTGGCAGAATTCGATAGGGCTGGTCACAACAATATTTGTTTATTATATATTGCATTAGAAAATTCATATATGAGGATGAATTTTCTCTATATTTCTCTTTTATTTAAACAGCTGCTTTAGGGAACTTTTTTTTTTCACTATCCAAGAGAGGGGCGCAACCCGCGGTCGGATCCGCTAATACTGTTTACGATAATATATTTTTTTTATATCACATTAGAAATTGCTTTCACTACTACGAGCAACTAAACTTCTCCCGTACTAAGTCCTTATACGACCGGTTTTGATGAAGAATGGAGATACCGTGTAGTAAAAGAAAAGTGGGCAGACCGAAACTGATATTCGAAAGATGGAGTAAGTGCTGATTCCAGAATCCTTGAAATCCGGAACTGGTGGACGGCTGCTCTGCACTGGGAAACATGGAAGAAAACTTGAAACGGCCAAGATCCAGTAATGGATTGTCGAGCTCGGGGTGGTGTGGTGATCACATTAGAAAATTTGTCGAAGAGGATAATTTTTGCTCTATATTTTTTATCTTTAAATAGCTTTTTTTTGGAACTTTAAAAAAACAAACTATTTTTCCACCACCCAGAGCTGGCGTCTCCTGGCAGAAATCACTATTGCTGGTCACGATAGTAACTTTTTTTTATATTACATTAGAAAATTCGTCTATGAGGATGGATTTTTCCTTTATTACTCTTTTTATTAAATAGCTGCTTTTTTGAACTTTTTTCTAACGGCGCGCCTACCGACTGGATCCGCTAGTACTGGTCAGGATAATAATTGTTTTTGAGAAGGAGTTAGTCGGGGGTGCGCTCAAATAAATACTAAATTAAAATATAGTAATTAATTTAATTTTACCGACGTTTCGACCCACTTTGCAGGTCGTCTTCAGGGCTACAAAAGATACAAAACATGTTGAGAATAAAAATTAAATTTAAGTGGATATAAAATAAGAAAAAGTTGTCAGATACAGAAATAAAAGATGATATCAGAGATATAGTGAGTGACAATGTAGTTAAATATTAAGTATTATATATGTTATAATTCATATGAATTAAATAATTCATTGACATTCATAAATAATGAATAAAATGATTCATTTTTATTCATACTTATTTTCCATTTATTTGTATCTTCTACATATACAATACTTAATATTTAACTACATTGTCACCCACTATATCTCTGATATCATCTTTTATTTCTGTATCTGACAACTTCTTCTTATTTTATATCTACTTATATTTAATTTTTATTCTCAACATGTTTTGTATCTTTTGTAGCCCTGAAGACGACCTGCAAAGTGGGTCGAAACGTCGGCAAAATTAAATTAATTACTATATTTTAATTTAGTATTTATTTGACCGCACTCCGACTAACTCCTTCTCATATTATATCAACGGTCAACCATCTCTACATCAATAATTGTTTTTATATCGCATTAGGTAATTTAGGATAATAATAGAGGATGGATTTTTCTTATATTACTCATTTCTTTAAATATCTGTTTTTGAAACTTTTTTCGGAATTATTTTTCCACCATCCAAGGAACGGCGCCCTCTGGCAGAATTCGCTAGTGATATTTTTTACTAGTGATATTCAAGATAGTAATATTTTTTCATATTACATTAGGAAATTCGTTTGTGAGGATACATTTTTCCAATATTTTTCTTTTCTTTTCATAACTGCTTTTTGGAATTTTTTTTTAAATTCTTTTTTAAACTTCTAGGGAAGGGCGCGCGCCCTCCGGCTGGATTTGGACCAAGAGATCTGTGCATATTTTATGTCTATGTTATGAATTTATACATGGTCTTCTTTTTGTAAAAATAATTGCTTCAGTTTTTTGTTCATTTATTTTTATTTTCCATTTTTCTAAATGCCTAGTGAGTTTTATAAGATTGGATTATATTCTTTTGGCTATCTTGTCAATTCTGAAAGAAAAAGTGTAGACAGCTGTATCACCTGCATGTACAAATAGCTCTGAAATGTACAAAGCAATACCAACTCATTTTTACTGCGGGCAAATAAACCGAATAATAATATCAATTTATAAGATGACCAAACAATTTTTAAGATGATGAAGCAATTTATGCAGACGATGAAAATATTTTCACGTAATTTGCAACGCAAATATTTAAGTGTGTACAATTCTAAACAGAACAAAACTAACAATAATTTGTAGGTCATCACTGATGGGAGCAGGGTCCACTAGACGAACCGAAGCAACTATTTAGGACGGAAGGAAACGAGATGACGAGGCGGGAAACGTACTCTACCTTTATCAGGGTCTGAATCACTGGCCCGAACTTTGTACCAGATGAGGGCTACATATAGGCAATTGGATTATCCAAACGTCGTCGTATCTGGTATAGCTACTGTCTGCATCAACATGTCTTCCCGAGGGATATTTTTGTGAGTATTCCGTCAGTTACAACGTATTGGTATCTGGGGAAATTCATAGCTGTCCGATCCAAAGGGACAAGTCTAGATTCTATGCAGTCGCGGTCATAGGAATTGCATCACACACTAAAAAATTTATTTTATTTACAAGATTGCTACTGCAAGATCTCCGGATATTTCTTTGCCAGTTATAAATCGATATTCTAAAAACAATGTAACGTCACAATTTTAATGTTTTTTGACGATGACAGTTCTTGATACAGGTCATAATTATAGCTTCCATACTGGCATTAGTTAAAACTGAACTGAGAAACATTGTTAAAGTTTTCTAGTAACCTTAATAAGTAAAGAAAAAATAAAATATTCATTGGAATTAACGTTATCAGCATAAGAACCAAAAGAAATAGGTGATGCAATTTTTATAATCGCGGCTGTATATATCCATTATATGGTGTTTAAGTTTATCTTGGAGAAAATCATAGCTTCATTCTCGCATCTTCCTAAATTTATAATTATGGGTTTAAAATGACGGGAAATTAATCTCCAGAAGTATGAAGAATGAGCAATTTAAAGTATGGCTTAGCAACGCTTTCATTCGACAGGTTGTTATGAAATGGAAACATTTTTTAATTTAATATAAATGTTATTAGAAAATAAAAATCAGTAAAAAAACACCAAGAGAAGAAACATAAATGTTAAGTCATAATTGAAACTCTGATTACTTTTTAAAATATTTAGAAAGAGAAATATATTCTCCAGATGTTTTATTTCAGCACGTTTTGCTTTATTGTTGGCCGTTTAATTACAAACGACACTTGATTTTCAACTTGAATTTTTTATTGTTAAAAAAAATTTATTTACTGGTGTTTTTTATTGCCTAAGCCAATTAATTTCTATTATTTTTTTTTCATGTTTTATTATTCTCTGACCATCCAGCTTTTATAAAATACCAACTATGACGAAATTAAACGAAATGCTGATTCTCAGTAACAAAACGACTAACTAAAGTCAAAATCGTCAATCCACCATGTTTGGATTCCATTTTGGGGCAGTGCGTTCACTTTTTTTTGTGGGAACATTGTTTTTTTTTAATAAATAATTACAAGGAACACAACGATATGCAATTTATAGGGATGTGCAGCGGGGGGAGGGAGGGGGGTGCACGGAAGGGGGGTCTGTCCCACCGTGTAATAGGTTTGCTCGGAAAATAAAAATGGCTTATTACCTTATGACGACTGGAGCTATGAGCACCACTCCCACTACGGATATGGAAGTTCTTCTAAACTTAACACCATTACTCATAAAAGTGGAAGAACTTGCTCTCAGAACCGCTTACAGAATCGATAAGGTCAAAATCTCTGATTTATCAGGGACATGGGTTCTTGTTTGAAAAGGTTGTTAAGAACGAGGTACTTGAGATGGATTTGGACTTTCAAGTCAGTAACTATTGAGATATGTACTTCAGTGTAAGGATTGACAGGTATAACTTTCATGGACCCTGTGGTGTGCTAATTACTACACTGGTGCTTCCTAGACAGAACAAGACTCAGGGGCTGGCATCTGGAGAATAGGTAACCAGTTAGTCGGACATCCTTATCCCTAAGTAGTTATATATCTGTCTTTCAGGCTGAGGTATTAGTCATTAATACCTGTGTCCAATCTGTAATAATGGAGAGATTAACGAACAGGAAAACATCGATATATCGAAACGGCTGTCGGTGCCTTAAATGGCTATGCAGTCCGCCCTAAGTTGGTGGATGAATGTAAAGAAAATCTAAACAATCTGGACACTCAAGAATTGTAGGCAATGAGAAGACCGATAGCCTCGCTAGGAAGAGCTCAGCACAAGTACCTTCAGCACAATCGTCCGTCTCTGGTATTAGCCTCAACTGTGCCTAAAGACATATTAAGGTGGCTGTTGCAATAAAACCAAGCTCTACTAGGAGCACTCCAAGTTGTTTCTAGAAGAACCCTGTTCAAAGAGAAGGTGCATGTTAGTCAAGTTAAAAAAAAGTTATTTTAACCAAAGCGAAAATATGGGGGATATAAGCCATTTTCAAATAATTAATCCGTATTAATTATTAGGATACAGTTACGAAACACACGAAAGAAATCATGGTAGTTTACATTGGATTGGCAAATAACTTTTTTTAAGATAATACCATACACATTTTATCTGACGAATTAATCAGTTACGTGGATTACTTATCCTATTTGTAATAATAGGATAAAATGTTGTCAACAAATATTTCTGTAAACTCTTATTAAAATTATTTTAGCATTGTGTTTGCTATTACATTATGAATAAGGAAGAAAATACTATTCTTCACATTTTATTATTTTACTGTATTGTTTTAAAAAAGAAAAGCATTCTGCAGAAGCTTAATGAAAATTTGGACGGGTCAAAATTGGTTGCCAAATTCTTACGTCTATGGTGATCCACAGTCTGCACCTCCACAAGAAACTGAAATGAGCAACTTTTCAATGAGAACGTTTCCAGGTTTGATGTTTGGGATCTCCACTCTCTAACCGAAGTCAATTTGGCTACACGCGTTTTTCCTAGGCCCTTTTGTCCCACCCTCCCTATTCACCAGACCTTGCTCCAAGGGACTACTACTTATTAGATCTCTGAATTAAAAGTATTTCAAAAAGGAACAGAATAGAAAAATAACAACACTTAGATCAGTTTTTTAGCAATAAACCTCAGACATTCCATGAATGTGGTATTACATTGTAGATTAAAATAAATCTCATATATATAATACACTGATTTTATTTTAACCTGAAAAATAGAAAGGACTCATTTTCGAACATAATGCATAAAAACGTTATAGTCTAGTAAAATTAAATTAAAAAAGGACTTGAATTGGAATTCTGGTACATGCATGTTTTTATTTTTTATATTTTTATAATTCTGTATATGTTATGATATAATCGTCAGGTTTAGCTAGTATTATATATATTCTATAGTATGTCACAGGCAGATCGACAGGGGAATAAAATAGATAATAATAAAAAATATCTCTAAAAGTATTATTGTTCGTATTATTACATTTTTAAAATAACTCCAACAATTACTTAAACACCATTTCATATAGTTGGTTTATTTATTTTTCTTCCAAAGTTTTTTCTATATAATTATCGTTTATATATATAAGAACAAATGCTTTCGGGCTGAAGTCCCCTCTCCCAAAATTGAATACTGGATCCGCTTGCGGTATATGTATATGCATTTTATTGTTGTTTCAGGTTACTAACGAGCTTGGTATTTGTACAGGCATCACTGAACACGCCCTATTTCCCCATTAAGTTCGGAAACTGTAACTTTCCTTCAATTAGTGAACAACTTATCAAGGATGAAGTAAGTTGAGATAGTTTTAATATAATATATTTTTTATTATATTTTGTTAATATAATTTAGATGTAGTATAATCGTTTTTCGTTTTATTATTTAGAACAGTAATTTAGTAGAATTGAAGAATTTCAGTTGAATATATCTTAAAATTTTAATATGAATTTGAGGTTTTTCATATTTTATTACCCTTTTAGCTTATTCACAGATATTATATTTCAAAAATATGTCAGAATAATGCAAACAACATAGTAAAATCAAAATCAACAATATCAGAATTTTACTTACATAATTATAAAGTATGAACATAGTAAATGTGATGCGTTTTATTTTTACCTATCTTTATAACTAAACAACTTTTCTATTATTCATTTTTTAAATTTATTTATTATTCAATTTTAATTTATTCTTTTTACTTAATATTTATTATATTTATTATTATATAGTTTTAACCAAAAAAAAAGAAAAAAAAAGGTTAATTTTTCTTCAAGATTTTTTTTGTTTTGTTTTATGAGTATTAATACAGTCTGCCACACTAAAGGGCATTGGTACTAGGGCTATAGTATTCATTCACACAATATGTAAATAAGAAAGGAAAAAATATATATATATATATATATACACTTAAAAAGATGAAGTAATATACAAGATAAGTAAAATAACTGTATTCAAGATTAATAAACGATAGTTTATAATGTATTCTCCATTATATATATATATATATATATATTTCTTCAAAGATACATTACATTTCGTAATTAAGAGAGAGAGAGAATCACTTTATTATCATAAAATAGAATAAAATGGTGCTGCCCAATTATATTGGGTTGCTAACAACACAGCATACTTATTAATCACTACAGACATTATTTAAAATTATTATACAATTATATAGGAACAACAATATGTATGAGCATAGTATACAATATTTTATACGTATATATATATATATTATTATTTTTTTTTTTATTTTTTTTTTCCTTTTTATTTTTTTTTTATTTATTTATTTATTTTTTTTTTTTATTTTTTTTTTTTTATTATGAAAAGTAATCGTATTAAAATGCACTATCAAAGGAATCAGAAACTAGTTTTAAATACTTATATATATATATATATATATATATATATATATATATATATATATATATATATATATATAATATATATATATATATATATATATATATATATATATATATCATCTCCTGATATATATATCATCTCATGGCACCTAAAAGCTTAAAAAGGCTATGAAACAATATTTTTTATTAAGTACTATTTATATGTACTTACAAAATGATTATCATTGATGATTTATACTTGAGTGGGAAGCTTTAAAGTTTCTAATCCTATAGATAAATTATCAGACAGGTTTTCTCGTTTAGATATGATATCTTCAACGACACAACTCAGACGTTTATTTCCAATTGATCTAATAAATGATTTCAAAACAAAGACAAATATGCAGTAAGCGAAAATAGCATATTGCATGGGAAAGCATTTGTGAAAAGCAATCTATAAACTAGGTTATAAGGTTCGATTGAAGTTATTATGGTCACGAGGATGACCTTATTTTATTTTATTTTTATTTTTTATGACCGTCGACTCCTGGTGGAGCATGGAGATCTTGCAAGTGTATTCCATTCGGCACAGATAGTGCCATCAAAAAAGGAAACTTGCAATGGAATCCTCAAGGAACAAGAAGAAGAGAGAGATGGCGCAGATCTGTTCAAAACGATCTGAGCGGGGCCTGCAAGATTTGGCCAGAAGAAAAAATGATTGCAAGGATTATCTACCACTCCATTAATAGACTCCTATGAAAAAATACTAATAAGATTAATTAATAACTTTATTAATAATAAAAAGATTAATTAAATTAAGATTAACAGTTATAAAACTTATTATTTCAAGATTGTCTTTAATTGCACCAATACTTACCTAACACTTTATTATAAGAATTAGGGATACTTAATTGAATTATTTTCAATTAATGATTAATTATTAATCAGTTAAATAAATTACAGTTCTTCAATAAGAAGTGGTACGTCTGGATGAGTTCTGGCAACTATTTCTTTGCAATGCAGAGCAAATGCGCAGGGACAGACACACGAATCGTTGGGAATGACACGGAATTTCTACATTTTCAATATGAGAATCCGTGAGTTTTACATATTTTTAAAAATACTTTTAAGCTTATTGGATTAAATTTACAAGCTTATTCATTTATAAATTTACAATTTTTATATTTATCTAATTGAAATTTATTAAAATTACAGAAAAATATATATTAAGTTGAAGTTATAATGTGGAATATATTATTTTAATGTTAACTGACGTTTTGGCATAAGCTGTAGCTACTTATCGATTTCTATTTGTATCTATTCCCGTTACAATCGATGCTAATTTAAGATGACTAATACATTTACATTATTTACTTTTTCAAATTATATTACTTTTGATTAAAATTATTTTATTCTCAAAGTAGAATAATAAGTGAACGTTGTATTATGCACCAACTCCGCCTAATTCTTTTATTTATGATTTTCTTCAAAGATATATTACATTTCAAAATTAAAAAAATGAAAAGTAAATGAAAATGCTATATCAAAGTAATCAGGAACTATTTTTAAATAGTTTTTCTATTTGTAAATAGTTAAATAATAACTATTTAAAATTATCAAAATATCATAAAATAATTAAATACAAAAAAAAAGACTGAGTTTCTTGAAGTTGGATAAGATTTTTTTTAAATTAGAAACAAGAAAATTTACTTTGATTATATAACATATTTACCAAATTTATCACTTTTGTTCACGTGAATATTCTAAAAAAAAAAAAAAGAAATTAATGAAGTACTTCATAAAAGATTTAATGAAGTTTTAAATTATTATAATTGAATCCATCAATATATTTTTTTCAACGACTTTGTTAATTACTAAATATTTAGTTACCAATCATGTCTAATTAAATTGAATAAACTTAAAGAAAAAAAAACTCTACAAATAATATCATTGTATAGCAAAGCAGGAAATAATTTAAATTTATAAATTAACTGTGTAAGATTGTTGGCGGTAGTATCGGCATCGCTAAGGCCCTTTATTTTTATTTAAAAAGAGTCAGATTTATATAAAAAACTTCATTCATAATTTGAAACATTGAAATTATAATATATATATTTGTATATTTTAAAGAACATAATGTTTCTAAATATCTGGTATTTATTTACTTATTCATACAAAATAATGGGTTTCAGGTTGAATTCATTTGTCACCCTTAAAGGAAATGCACCAGGCAACTATCTTCGATACAAAGGACTTGTGTTTCCCGTCGACTATAGTACGAACAGTAAGTTTAAATATTGTTTTTTAAATTTTTAGTTTGTACATCAGCAAGCCAGCAGTTTCGGAACGGAGTGCTGAGATGTGTTGCGAGACATACATCATTACAGAGGACTAAAACAGACCAACTCCTCAAAACTTTTGAACTACCGACTGTAACAGACTTTATACACACGCAGGCACGTCAAATTTTTTGATAGTCTGCAATACGCGAAAAACACACTTTTAAGACACTAACTCCGTTTTGTAACTTTTAAGACACTAACTCCGTTTTGTAAATTTTAAGACACAAACGCAAACAAAAAAACTCAGATTTGACTTGACTAGACTGAGGACTACTAACTAACTAGACTGACACAAGACAACTAGTGAGCCACCTCACTAGACTAACGACTCAGCACATAACAATTTTTAAAACTTCTTAACTCCTCATAACTCCCTTAAAATGCATAGGACCAATGCAGTACAAGGGACTCCATCTCATAAAGAAACATATGAAAGTCACAACCACCGATCTTTGGGATAAGAAAAAAAAAATTATTTTGTACATATAAATACTTATACATATAATGATTTTAAATATTTTTTTCCAGGATATAACTTTACTTTGGCATTGTCAATTGTTGAAACTGATTACGACAACTGGGCAGCGATATACTTCTGTAAGCAGCTTCTCGGTTCCAAAATTGGTGAGATTGCAACTTTAAAAATTTCTTAAATATCATTTTAAAAGATTAAAAATTGTGTATTGCACATGTGATGATACATGAACTGTTTTTTATTAGTTATTAAAGAATACATCTTTCATATGACCTTTATTACTTGAATTCTGTTGCAGCTCAAATTTACGCGATTTTTCTTTCCATAACATATCACACTTTTGATATGTTTGTACTCAGCGTACGCAGTCTATGATCCCATAAAACTTTAGTGGATTTTTCTTTTAAAATACTACTTTCCAAATGAGTGACTCATCATATAAATAAGCAAAGGCAAAGCTGTATTTCCAACGATTTTCTTTTTTTGTTTAGTAGCTATAGTCGAGCTTTAGAGCTTTCAATCAAAAAATTGGAAACAGTGTTTATAAATAAAATGTAAATGTTAATTTGTTCAAAACGGCTAATCTCCGGCAGTTCTTTGCCGACTGCTTTGACATTTTGATACAACGATTAACGATTACAATGATGTAATAAAAACCAGGAGTGTTTCTATATTCATTTCCTTTCGTTTTGAAATGGCAATCGAAAAACGTGTGTTACTATCGGCTATAATGTCAAAATGTCTGTAACGATTTTAGTTAGACTTGACCATAGTTTTCTAAGTAAAGCCCTTTTAAATTTATTTATACATAATAATTTTCCGAAAAGAGAATAAAAAAAGTAAAGATGGGTTCAGAGTTTTATTCGCGAATAATTTTAAATGTCATAAATTCCCTCACAAAATTAGAAAATAAAATAAAAAAATCATCGAAATCGAAAAGAGTCATATCCGATAAAATATTTGTATTGCACTTTTTTTTCTTTTTACATTTTTCGGTTTATATTTTTAGCTCTATTGTGGCTAATGAATGTTTGAAATATAACTGTAGTTTAAGTAAAATATTGAAATGAAACAGTTTGTACCGAAGGAGTGGTTTCAGATATTTTTTAAGGGCAAACCAGTGTTAGGCAAGATTAGTATTTCGCTCCTAGAAAATCTCTTAAATACGAATTTTCATTACAAACGAAAAATAAAAATCCCTAACATTTTCGCCGAGTGGGCAGTGAAAAGTGGGGTAAGATTTCTTTTTTGAAAAAAGTTACGATGGATTTAGATTTCTTTTTTTTTTTTTTTCCCTGTAGCTCAAAAAGTACACAAATGTTGATGTACTGTTTCCTTTTGGCGAACACTAGTATATATAAAATAATATTGTAATATTCCGGAATTAAACGGGAAAAAACAAAAAACTGTTATAATTTCGAGCGCATCCATTTATACTTTACATAAGCTAAAAAAATAAATAAGAACTTTTTCCCCACCTTAATAATCTTTACCGTCTGGCATATGACCTTATTATTTTTTTTTTTATTGTTAACACTTACTCATAATATAAAGTAGGAGATATTGATTGATTCTATGTCAACATTTTCGTTGAGCACGGTAAACAAAGGTGTAGTCATCAAATTGTTTCGCTACTTCCCTCTGTGGTAACAATTCAAACACGAATTCCAATTTGCATTGTTTCTTGTAGTAATTATATTTTTTTTTCTAATTTGTGAAGAAAAAAATCTTTATTCATGAATAAATCTTTCAGAATTGTCCTGGCTTTTGACGACGGACTGGAAGAAAACTCCATCGGAAGAGCAAAAGAATGAAATGTCGGAAGCTGTCTCCAGGTTCGACTATACTCTGGATGACTACTTCCTTCAAGACAACAGCCGTTGTGGTATCGGAGAACCACATTTGTAGTGATTTCTCTTTATATAAATTATCAAACCTTCTTCTAAGTAGCAGTGATTTATTACTGAGTGGATTGAAGGCCAAGAGATCCATGCAATAAAATTTAAATATTGATTTTTTTTTCATTTAAAGTATTACCACAAAAAAAAGAAAAAATAATTACGCATTTTATGGTACCAGATTTTTTTATCTGAGCAAAAATGCCTTAAATTGTTTAAGCTTCTTAATTCTTGTGTATGCTTTTAAATGAATGTATTGATTTATCTTATGTATATATTTGTATCTATTAATTTCAGTCCATTATGCATACATGAATTGAAACATTTCACTAATTTAATGGTACTCTCAAGACTGTGATATTGTAAACAATTGTTTAGTTAATACAAATATACTAGAGTTTAGTTAACAATTGTTTATAGTTTATATTATAATAATTTCAACATGTTGTAATGTTACTGCTTTAATATAAACGTTATTTTAGTGCATAAGAATAGAAAAATATTTTCTTAAAAAAAATCTTATCAGAAAAGATACTTATTTCTAAAGTATTAGATTTAGGATATTTATTTAAAATTACAGCAATATTTGTAAATAAATTTAAAATAGATATTAATCCTTTTTTTTATTAACCTATTTCCAAAGGTAGAGAGACATTTATGATATATTTGAAGAATGGTGGGGAGAGGAGGAGAGAATAATTTATTTATTTTTGAGGTTATGGAATTAAATCATTCTAACATTCTTTTTTTTTTTTTTTATAAAGTAAATCATTTATGAATTTAATGATGCTTAGTAAAATTAAGAAGATTATAGTCTTAGCTTGAGTTAAAGGATCTCTGTTTTATTCAATAGGGTACTTCGATTAATTTTAAATTTTTATTCGTCTTTTAAAATTAACAAAAAGTCTCGAATTTTTTTCGTATCAGGAAATATAATTATTGTTAAAGAAAATGCGATAGAAACGAAACTATCTCAATCTATATTTTATACTTTTTAGATTGTAGAAGGATTTCCAGGAACTTTTATCTGAAAAATATCTTTACGATTTCTGATGAGTAAAAATATCTGATTTGAAATGTGATTTATTAGCTTCAGTAAATAAATAAAATAAGCTATTTTTAAAGTCATAGAAACGGCACACAAGTTGAATATAAAACTTTTACATATATAATAAGGACATTACTGCGTGTTGTATAATTTAGTCAATAAAAGCAATTATTTGAGTAAATAATTACCTATATTTAAATGTATATGATTTGTCGTTTGGGTATAAAATATATAGTAGCCGATTTTTACATATATTCTTGTCAGGGAGAAATGCAGGCAAAAAACGAAATAAGTCGAGGAATTTAATCAAATCAATACCGCATCTAAGTACGAGTTATTCAAATAAGGGATATATTTTAATCATGAATTTAATGAAGTCATAGACTATTTGTACTCTATTCCCCAAATTGTAGATCAATTCGAACTATATTTTGAAATATAGGTGTTTCCATAAAAATACGTTAGCGCAAACGGAACCGAAATTATTTTTTTTAAAGTATTAGAAGGATTTTGATAAAATTAGTACATATTTGATTATTTCTCCATAAATTCCATAAATCGTAAATCCACCAAATAGAATTCGCGGTTTTTGAGATATAAGCATATCAAGGAAAATACTATTGCTCATTTGTAAGAGAAAATATTCTTGACAAAGCACCAAGTTGTTTTACTATTCCCCAACTTATGGACGTTTTTGAGCCAAATCGACCGATCCTTATTTGAAATATAGGCGGCTCTATGATGATACGCATTTGCGTGCTTGAACGAATTTTTATTTTTATGAATTGAAAATATTTTCTTGAGTTGTACAATATTCTGTCAGGATAATGGCCTGAAACTCAGTGTTGTATACACTCCCTGAAAAAGACCTGCAAAGTGGGGTGGAAAGGTTGGCTTTAAATAATTTATAAATAAATAGTTTATCCACTATTTTATTCTTTTTATGACTGCCACCCCATCTTCTTCCTCTAAAATATACAACGGTCAACCACTAAGTTTTCAGTAAAATAGTACCTTAAACATACCTATATACACTATTTACAATATGCAGAGGGAACCCCAAACTAGGTTTTTCCTCACACTTTTGGGATGAAAAGCAGGATTCTTGGACTTCCCAGCCTTACTCCCTCAACCACACCTCTAATACTAAAAGCCAATGGAGATCGAGCGCGAGCGCTATAGCCACATACACACGCCTTGAGCAGAGCATCTGGATATTGCCGAAACTACAATAACACATATTTACAGCTTGGAGCTTGTTTATTTGGATGGATGATATTTAAGGTTATGGTAAAATGTGGAAAAATGCTCTGGAATAAGGTCTAAACTAAATGAGTTGGGAAACCAAGATACCGGACAGTATCTGAGAAGGGAAGCTTGTATTGTATGGAGTTAAAATGAAATGGTGGACAGAATCAATCAGGAAGTGTTGGATGATAGGATGGTGGTGTCAATTAACAAATGTTTCCAGGAATGTGTCGGTATGAACTGGGACACAAGCAATAAAGCAAATATAACTGACGGAATCCAAGACCATAGGAACACCGGTCTCAGTTAGATAGCAACCATTCTGTAACGCACTCCAAATGAACAACAGTTAGTGATGTTGGAATGAAGGATTAAGGACTGAGAGTAGATGAGTTTTTTCTTGTTGTAAAGCAACTCAGCGTGCCATATCCGGTCAAAAGCTTGTGCTGCGTTCAGAGATATAGCCGAGCAATATTTCTTGCTTTCCAGGACTGAGATAATTTAATCAACATAAGTGAAAGTAGAGGATGAAATTGATTGAGATGACGCAATATTTGAAAATGTCATGAAAATTGAATTAACGGCATTATTAGTATTTTATCTAATGCTTTTGAATACAGAAAGTTAAGAAACTAAATTTGTTACTTTATGTCTAAAACGTAAAATTACAAAGTTGAAGAAAGATCAAGTCATTATAATAACTTGAGTTTAAACTTATAAATAAGTTTGACTGAGTTGACCTTTCTAATTGTCACCACAATTTGTTAAAACACTGCGCCTTATATCGTAAACCTCTTTTCTAAAGGAGCCGCTGCTACAACTCGAAGGTTTATTTGATAGCTGTCGATCGCTTGAGCATTATGGCCATAAAGATCTTAACAGGAGATAACGCTATTGTGGGTTTTGTTTTATAGATAACAACGAAATTTTTATAAAGCCATTTATAATTATATCAGACTACTGACTTTGATGTAAAACATGACAGACCAATGGGATAGATGTACAAAGGAGCGCTCCTATCGTTCGACAACTTCGAACAAATACACAAGGTAAAGCTTCCATTGTTATTTTTAATATACGTTGCCTTATCTATATCTAAGTATAAGTCTATTTTGATCAAAAATATATAACTTTTTTTTTTCTAAAAAAAAATATGAATAGATATTTGTATTATTTATTAATTAATTAATTATTATTAAAGGGGGGGGGCATTTGTATTAATCCAAGAAATTTTATTAATCTTAGGTTTCTTATAAATATTATTAGCGAAAGTAGAATTTGAAAAATAGTTAACATACAATTACATTTGATTTGTTCTTTACCTTGATTTCTTGTTTGAAAATATAATTTTCTCCAAACATTCATAACCCTATTTAAATATCTCCCTCAAAAATTCGAAACAGCGCAAAAATTTGGCCGGATTAAACACAGTAAAAATGTCGCCGGTAGGTGACATAATTAAGGTGAATGGTAAATTTCATTCAAAATTATATTTTTAGATTAAATAAAAATGTTCGTTACTGTTTTTTGGTCAATTTTGATCTGGATTCAACCCATAAAATGTTATGAAATGATGACGATTAATTCGAAATATACTAACTGAAATACTGTTGTATGACTGTTTACTTTTGGAGGAAATAATGTAATAGTTGTATTTTAGCATACTTACCTTCGGAACAGTATTTCTTATAAGATTTTAGCTGAGTTCCTTCAACAGAATGGTTTCAAATTTTCCTCATAGAGTACAGTAGAGAAATATTTGCGACTTGTTGATATGTGGATCCTTTCTTAGTGTTTTCTCATAGGCAATTTTCTTTCCATACGCCTTCCAGTTTACATGGTATTAGGAGAAAATTCGTAAACTTTAGTGCGTAAATTTATTTATTAGAATAATTAGCCATTTAATAAATATCTTTCTGTAAAAATGAAGAATTTTCATCTTCAATCACAACAATTATTTAATTAATTATTAATTACAATTAATATTATGTTAAAATTCTTAGAACTCTGGTACATAAGTTAACGCATCGGAGACAGTGAAGTCTTTATAACAAGCAATTTTATTTACAATGACAGTTACAAATTCTATTTTCTATATCGAATAGAACTAAAACTATCTATATTGATTACAAGAGATAATTCTAGTTCTCCTACAAGCAGGGGCGCAACTTGCGCTATGAAATCCTCTTATGGCCATCCCTGTCCACAATTTTACGAAATCAAGACATGAATCTAGGTCAACTGGCGGGAGTATGAACTTTTAACTGTAAGATTGATTAGCCCTGAGTTCCATGAGTATAAATATACCAACAAATATTAATTAAAATGAATTTGCTTATTATAATAAAAAAATTTGATCGGTTCTTATAAAAAATATAGCTGACGGATAAACCGAAATAAGTATATTTTTTAAACTTTTTTGATCACTTTTATTTATTAATCCGCACTGGTCAATTACAACCATCGACAATCAACAGATGAGCTGGCACAATCATAAGATAAAAAAAAAAAAGCGTGATAGGCATGAAGAAAAGCAATACACAGTGGCATCCCTTCCATGGCGTTTACTAACTTACATACAATTATGTAACTAGGTACCTCATCCAAAATAAGTATATTTGATTTAAAAAATAAAAAAAATCATTACAAAAGTTGCTAAATTAATTTTATAGAAGATGAAAAGAAATGTCCATGTTAAAAAAAAAAACACAAAAAAACATCGATGTTTCTATCGGATACAAGTAAATCTGTGATAGACTTTCAATATTTTAAAACTTGAATATTTTTTTGTTTAGCGTCACGAGGCGTGGATTTGTGGAAATCAAGGGATTGGTAACTTTGATTTACATGACAGATTGATTCAAGGATTGAAGGATTGTTTAAGATTAAGCAAAGGTTTGATGTACATTTAAGAATATATAGTAGATTTGCGTAATAGTTAGGTTTAAGGATTATAGGTACTGTTTAAGATTAAATAAAGGATTATTGCTCACGAAAAAATAAAGCGGAGCCATTACTAAGAAGTACAGTTTACGTAACAAATGAGAAAGTGAATTGAACGAGAGTTTAAATAATTGAAAGATTTTGGAGATTTGCAACAGATTGAGGAATAGGTACAATAATAATAATAATAAGGAGTAGAACTGAAAAAAATTAAAATCCGTTACATGAGGAGGAAGATTTTTATATGAGTTTAACAAACAGGCTTTTAAAAGCTGTTGCGTTTTAAAGAAAAAATAACGCTTTTCAATATTATCCTCAAATGTGTAAATATTATTATAGGTATTAACGGTTTTTGTTTTTTTTTGTTCCAGAACATGCATCATACTTTTTCTTTTCGCTTTCTGTATTACGAGCAAGGCTAACAACTTCCATGATTTGGAGCTGCAAGAGAACTTTAACCCGAAGAAGGTAAGGCAAGCAATATCGATCGAACCTAGTTCTGAACTTATAATGGGAACTGGCTATGATAGCTAATAATAAGCTACTCTGAGATCCCCTAGTCTTGGCTGATAAATGGCTACATTCATTACTTACTTCCGTGGCTCTTAAGCTCTTGTATAGCGCAGGTCTCCAAAACAACGCCTCTCCAATCCTCCCTATTCTCCATTGTCCAATTCCCATCTTCTGCAAATCGTCCTTAATCGCCAATCCATCTATGTCTGGGCCTTCCTCTCCTTCTTTTCCCTTCTGGTTTACCATATAATAGTCTTTTCGGGTATCTGTCTTCACCCATCCTCTCTACGTGCCCAAACCTTTGTTATCTGATACGGCTTGATTTAACATAAGTCACTATGTCTGGTTCTTTATACAGTTGTTGGGATTCTCTATTATTTCTTATTTTCCCGGTATTCCTTTAGCAGATCCAGAGTCGCATTTCTGTGTCAAGGCCCACATTTCACCTACGTAAGTGACAATTGACAATTGTCTACATTCATTAATATTGATAAATACTGAATGATTATTGTCAAAAAAATATGTTAATATGAACACTATATTTATTTAACTTAATTTATAAAATTAACCTAATTGTAATGTGCAGTTCTTCACTGGTATCTGGTATGAAACCCAGCGACTAAACAAGACTCTAACGAACTGGGGCAGCTGTCTCAAAATAGAATCCTCCGTGGTTCTTGACAAAATACAATTCACCACATCAGCTTATATACCCTTGTAAGTAAAGATACAATATTTCATTAAAAATAAATAAACATAAATGATGGCCTTATTGGTCGAATATATAATTAATTCAGTATTTCGCTTTCCTTAGATATATAATGTTTCTATGCTTTCTGACGAAAAGGAAGTTCAGTCGAAAAATAAGTAAATATATTTTTGTGACATATTTATTATTTATAGCCTGGTACTGGTACTACATCCTCTACTTGACAGAAATACAAATTAAAAAATCGACTTCCCCCAATTTTTTTAAGATGGCTACAGCTCTCTTCTCTTATAACTATTTAGATTTGATCCAATGAACGTTAATTTTGCTTTTAAAGTTGAAGCACATTCTGCTGTTTTAAGTATTGGCGCCGACTACTAGGATCTCCCGTGTGTTGCACAAATGCAAGACCAAGATGAGTTCAGATCTGATGGAGAAAAAATAGTCTTGATCTTGGTCTTGGTCTTGCGCAAGAGTCTCGTAAGTCATGCAGTTAACAATAAGCGTATTTCTATTCATTAAACATGTTACTTTAGATCTAAGAAACGCTACAGAGTAGCTACATTTAGATGTTTTATTGACACAAACATAGTAAAGTCCAACCAAATTAATAAAATTAACTTGGCAATACATTAAAGGCATTATCAAGAAAAATAATGATAAGCACCCATCTTGGAATGGAAAATTTGTAGAATCTAGACAATCTATAAAATGTCACCAATCATTTAAATAAAAAATCTGGTGTGTCTATTCACATGACTTTCCTACAGATTTAATTTTTTTTCCAATTTTAAGTATGTTCATTAAAAATATCATAATTGATTTAGACCAATTTTCCTGATAACCTATCAGAAAAATCATTAGAGTGAGATTTTTTTGATGAACTAAAGCAATGTAAACAGCCTATTGAATTATTAAAATCAGTGTATAAAATTCAATAGACTGCTACGTTGCTAAAACTGGTCCGATTTATACTATTTTTTTTTTTTTTTTTTTTATAGTTATGTCGGAAATTTAATAACCTTAATGCTACCACTAAATATTATAGAGATAATACTACCATTTATAAGAATGGGAAAGCCTAACTAAACACCGAGCGAAAAATTGGAGTTAAATGCAAAACTGTATTGGTTCTCCTAATTCTTTACATATAGTAACTAACATTTTCTAGTATTAGAAACTATTTTGTGTTAAATGTTATTGACAATTGTTTTTTTTTTATCATTCTTGGTCTTGGTCTTGCAACAATTAGGGTCTTGGTCTTGGTCTTGCACTTTGCATTATGATTACTAGTTTTGGGAATAATCTCGCTTAAAAAAATTATAATGAATATAAGAATTCTCATTATTGATATAATCCTTATTGATTTTTTTTAGGAAGGGCTTGAAAATAATCGATGGTTTTTTGTGTGAAACAAATAATTGATAATCAAACTGCCTGAAATGGTAATTTTTCGTATAAATATATATTATAAATTTCATATAGGCATATAGGACATATTCCAAACAATATCCCCACTCAGTGATAGTATAGTTTGCCTCCTCTCTAATAATTTTCATAAGTTGGCGCCAATGGTTTTAAGTATGATGCAATTACAAGTATTTAAATATGTATGTCTATCTATATGTAATTATTTTAATGCTGCTAGTATAAATTACAAGCACATCAAAAGAGGACAACGAATTTAGTTATATGTTTTTTAGTCCCTCTTTATTTCCATATATAATGTTGTGTTAGTGTTGTCCAAATGCGAGATCTTGCAAACTCAATCTTAGTTTTGGTATTGGTCTTGCGCAAGAGTCTCGCAACGGTCTTGTAGTTACCTATTAGCTTATTATTATAGAGATATTACTGTAATTTTTTAGATAGGAAGAACCTAAAATTAATTGAGTTAAATGCAAAGGTATGTTGGTTATACCAATTCTTTACATATACTAACTAAAATTGTCAATTATTAGTAACTATTTTACCTTAATTTTTACTCAAAAAATCGATTTTTTTTACCAGTCTTTGTCCTTGTCTTGCACTTTGCAAAACCAAGACCGATTTTGGGCAACACTAAGTCCACTCTCTGAAATAAAACTTAAAACAGAATTGATCAGCTCCTTTACTGTGCTTATGATATGACTTATCGGACAGATGATTTCATTCAGACATTCCGATCATTTAGTATTAGAACATATTAAAAGTAAATAATATCTGCTTTTAATCTTCCATAACAGTAGACAAAATAAAAAAAAGTTTTTTATTATATTTATTTTAAGTACTAATTATGTTTCTCTTATTTCAGCCTTTTCAGCAGAAAATCATTCAAGTCATCAACCAAGTTAGGTAATGGGAATAAACCGAATTTCCTAGTGAGCATTTCAGCTTTGAGTAGGTATTTTTTTCTCTACATTTAATATTGCTTGTTTAATTTTCTTATCATCATATTAACAGGAGTATATGTTGTTTGAAATGCGTAATATAATGTAGTATAAGATTACGAACACAGTCGGAGCTAGGGTGAGGGTTTCGGGCTGAAGCCCTCCTTTTTCCCATTCTCCTCCAAATGGTAATATATAACCATGGTTAAATGTTTTATGGAAAAAAATATTTTAAAAATTATCTCTTAAAATATTATTGTTCGTTTAATTACATTGAATAGGACTTTAAGCATCACTTAAGCATCACCGTTTAATATAGGTAGTTAGTTAGTTTCTTTCTTTTTTTCCAAAGTAATTATCATTATGAAAAAAAAGCTTTCGGGCTGAATCCTTCCCCCCTCCCAAAAAAATTAAATCTTGGATCCGCATGTGTTTACGATGCCTATTGACAGTAGAAGATTCAAGGAAGGAAGCTTTTTCGGCATGAATAAAAAAACATACGTTTGATTTTTTTTCATTACTCCATATTTTTTACTTTAACTTATATATATGTAATATATAGTAAGGGTGAGTATTGCGATCGTGAAAATTTTCGAATCTCGGTTTTCAACGGAAATACATGTTTTGAATTTGATAAGTTAATAAAGGAGAAAAAAAAATAAAAATGCAGAAAAACCTGCGTTGCTATAGACTGTAGCGCCTAAACGAATGTACCAATTTCAATGAAACTTCGTTAAAGTCATTTTCCCGATATCCTTTAAATTTATCTATATAACATACTTCAAAGAAAAGAAGCTGGAAAAAAAGTTACGAGGGATGTTAAAATTAAATTCCGAATAACTCAAAAAATATACGTTTTTTGGGGGATATTGTATATGGTTATTTAAAAGTTTATGGAATTTCCTAAAAAAACAAAATAAAAATCTGACAACTAGGAGGAAAGATATGGTCTCTAGTTTTTTCCCCTGAAGATCCGAAAATTAAAATTTAAATTTAAAAAATATAAATTTAAAATATAGTTTTTTAATTGTTGAGACTAAAAAACCCTTTTTTCTACAGATATTTAATAAAGTGTCTTTCCTTAAGATCTTTCATAAGAAATTAGTACCTAAATCTATACCTTTATTCTCAGTTCTATATTTCAACACTGCAATCATCACCTCTGGAATCAATTTACTCATTGTCTGCATAGATAACGTTTTCAACTAAAAATATCACTAAAATGACATCACTCAAAAATGATGAAATTGGAGTTAGTCATTCTGTGGTTTATAAAAGCAAAGAAAGTTGTGTGGTTTATAAAAGCAGATGGAGTGACTAGATTTTTATTGCCTGTCGTCGATATATTAAATAGACATTTTGTAATTATAATGGTCTTAATGACTTGTTATCTGTAAGCTTTAAGCTTAAGCTCCGTTTAAAATATACTTCAAAAAATTTTATAATAGCCCAGCATTGCCAGAAAATAATTTCTATTCAAAGTAAATCGGTAAGTGAAAGTTGTGTATTGCGCGCACCAGATTTTTTCTCTAAGTGATCAGACAATGAGCCAAGCACTTAAGCTATCACAATATATTATCTGTTTACTGTATAATTTATATACCCCACTGGCAAATGTCACGAAGTTTAAAATTTCACGATGTGATACAGAGGATTTTGACTTTGGCATTAATCCCCTGCCCTGACCTCTGTACCCGGGAAAACCCCCGTATAGCCTAAAAGACGAGGAAGGGGAGGATGAAAATAAAAAATACAAACACACAACCCTTCTTTTTCCATAATTGGGTAAAATATTAAATATACTCAAACATAAATACAGGTAGCTGTTAAAGGAATAGTAGTGTAGTTTTGGCTGCTAACAAGAGGGTTAGGCGGAATGATTGATTGGTAAATTTGGCAAGTGGTCTCCCACTCACCAAGGGCCAGTTCAGTCTCGAACCTCGAGAACTATATACTGTTTCCGAGCTAACGACGAACGGGCGAGGAAGTGCTCTATCGCAACATTTTTCCCCAAAACCGATTGGGGATCCGATATTCACTTCTGGGGAGGCTAAAGGAGGGTCTCGCGATCTCAGAGTTGATCCGCATATGATATAAATTAATTTTCTCAACTATATACCGTCACAGTGGGGCTAGAACCCAAACCCCCTAGAGAAACGAGTCCAGTTATCTCCTAGCTACTCCACTCCTCTTACATTCAGGATAATTATAAATTAATAATTAAGCTGCATTTCTTCAGGTTGGAATATCTCAGTTATCTCTACTGACTACGATAACTATGCTCTTGCCTCCTCTCGTTCTATTAATAAGTCTCTACAAAGCAGCACTTCAGCATTCCCAGGTTTGTAAAGGGTATACACATATAAATTGTTATATTTATGTGTATATATTTCTTAACCTTTTTTTATCACACAGAGATTATGATCATCTTTAGAAGAAACAAAAATGATAAAGGCCATGTACAAGAGATAGAAAATGCAGCAGTGAAGAGCGGTATATCTTACCATGATCTTTCCGTACTAAATTGTTAGCTCAGAGGCAATTATTTCTTGTAAAAATTGAATAAAATGTAATACGAAAAGATCATATTCATTCTTGATTTATCCTATCGATCATCCCTGATTGAAGTATAATTAAACAATGAAACGATATGTGTTGTGTATCGTTTAGTAACCACTTTTACCATAACAAGTGACAATATATTTATATACACATCATCTCTTATAAAAAAAAAAAAAAAAAAAAAAAAGACTCCCACTAACACTCATTTATAACAGACAACTCCGGAACTACATATTCTCAATCAAAATTAAGGACACCTCTCTCCCAGTTAAAATATTAAGACATGTTTTCTATATTACATTATTAAATGAATACTTTATGCAATGGTCAATCAAAGTGACCAATTTATTTTTTTTTGGGGGGTCTTCCTCAATCTGGCCGTTAAGGCTTATACGGGGTTTCCCCCGGCCAGGGGGTGTAGACGGAGATTTAAAAGACTCCCTCGGCACCGGGACGCGAACTCGTGACTATTTTTATATCATCATATATCAGATTGCCGGGCATAAGCGATAGCTCATTCGGATATATATATTCCTTTCACATGTCTTGCAGCAGTGGCTTCCTGTCGCAAATAATGGATCCTAACGACCAGAAGGTGAGTATTCTCTCCCACCCAAGGTCGATGGCGAATGAATATTCCTTCCCCTATTTACCCAAAATATTTTATTGCTCTCTTTTTTTTAATAACAGTGCAAGCTAAAGAATAATTTTCAAAGGCATCATAGGTAGAAGTCATAGGTCACATAAACTACACAGGCACCGAAATGTGCCTCCCTCAAAAATTCAAATTTACATTATTGTTTTGTTAAAAAGTACCCGCTTTATAGAGGCTGGGTGTGCCCCAGAAAGGTAGGCCACAAGTCTTACAACAGGTTATCTCTTTACATTTTTTATAATTGAACGACAACTATTATATATTCACATACACAATTATATAGGTATATTCTCATAGAGGTTGCAGTAGTTTTTCCTGTTTCAATTTCAATCAATACTACTACGTTTCTAATCTTGTTGTTAACCTCGTTAATATAAAGTTGTTATCATTATTGATAATCCTCTCTACGAGTGTTAACTATAGAAGTGTTCAAGATTTAACAGATATAATATTGGATTGAGGAAAAAGTAATTTCAATTTATCCCAATAGGTGACTTTGAAGTCTCTTATCTCTTTAATCCTTATTCAATGAACTCATTCTATAGTTCGTTCGAAAGGTCACTATTCATAGAACATTCTATATATAAAAATGGTTTCATTCATTTATTGTGTCAACAGTTATTGTCCTTTTGTGAATAATGTGAATAATGTAGCGGAGGCTCATTGAAGATTGCATCAGGTTTATGAGGACAAGTGCTTAAGCGACCGCCAGTGTCAGAATTGTTTTGCTCGTTTTCGTTCTGGAAATTTTTATGTTAAAGATGAATCGCTAGGGCCAGCCAAAAAGTCGATTCTTAAATTTGAAATTGTTCAAAAAAGTCGTGATAGACCGACGTGTTTCATCTCACGACATCATTGTGGCATCAAGCATGGATCAGAAAGCAGTTTTGAAGCATTTATACAAGGTTGAATATAAATAAAGCTCGGTACTTGGGTTATAAATCAATTAACAGAGTAAAACATAATGGACAGAGTTCCGATTTGTGGATAACTGATGAAATGAAACGAAATCGAGGCTTTTTTGAAACAAATGGTTTTCTATTGAACCATTCAACGAAAACAGTGAAAAACGCTGCAAATTATTACACAAAGGTTTATTTATTTCCAAACAATTATATATCAAAAGTGACATTATTTTCCTTGTAATATAAGAAAAAAAAGAAATGAAAGGTGATTCTAAATAACCATATTTAAAAAAGTTTATATTTTGTCTGTTATTCCGACATTTAAGTTTGAGTTTCCCTGATCCTTGGAAAATATCTATTGTCAAAATGATCCACAAACCCAAAAAGCCACCAGAATATCCATCCTCTTACCGTCCCATCTCTCTGTTACCCATCATGGGAAAAATCCTGGAAAAACTAATCTTAAAACGCCTGTACCCAATCCTAGATTCTAATCACATAATCACAGATCACCAATTTGGATTCCGCTCCTCCCATTCCACTATACAGCAATGCCATCGTGTGGTAGACGTAGTATCCTCTGCATTGGAGCGCGGTATGTACTGTACGGGAGCCTTTCTCGATGTTGAACAGGCGTTTGATAGAGTTTGGCACCCGGGACTGCTGTACAAACTCCGAAAATTCCTACCATCTACCTACTTCCTCATTATCCGTTCCTACCTTCCTGATAGATACTTTAAGTAAATCACAACAATGTATATACATCCCGTTTTTCCCGGTCTGCAGGTGTTCCTCAAGGTAGTATCCTAGGTCCTATCCTTTACACAGTTTATACAGCTGACATCCCAACCCATCCCAACACTGTCATCACCACATATGCTGATGCATATGCATCCCAAACCCTTCAATCCCACATCACAAACCTTGAAGAATGGTGTCAGAACTGGAGAATTAAAATAAATTCCAATAAATCCCATCAAATTACCTTCACCCTTCGTCGTAAACCAATGACTTCCTGTCCTTCAGTATCCTTTAACAACACCTCACTTATTCCTGTTGAACAAATCCGTTACCTAGGACTCCATCTGGACAAACGTCTAACTTGGAATCCTCATACCAGACTGAAACGACAGGAAACCGCTCGACGTTTCCGACTACTTCAACACTTACTAGACAAACGCTCTAACCTTCCAATCAATTATAAAAGACTGATTTACATGACTATAATAAGGCCTATTTGGACTTACGGGGTTGAGCTATGGGGCTCCACCAAGCCTTCAAATTCCTCTCGCATACAGTCCTTGCAATCCAAAATCCTTCGTAAAATCCTCAATGCTCCTTACTTTGTTACAAATAAAATTATCCATAATGACCTTAATGTTCCTTATGTATCAGATTTGGCCCAATCCAGATATCTGTCCTTCCATAATAAACTTCATAACCATCCCAACCCTCTTGTCTTTAACCTTGCTTCCTATTCGATTCCTGATAACCCTCCGAGGCGTCTGAAAAGAAGATGGCCACGTGATCTTCTAATATAGACATATTATTAGAGTGCTACCAATGGGTAGTTTCTCAACATGTGTTCCATGTCTTTATACCAATGTGCAAATTTACTAGATGTATTTTTTTTGTATACAGTTGTAAATATCATTTAAAATAAATAAAAAAAAAAAAAAAAGTTTGAGTTATTCTAAAAAAAAAACTCAAATTTTGAGGAGGATTGAGTTTATGAAATTTTTGGACGATCACAATGGTTCATTATTGAATATAATAAACTAAAAATATTTAAAAACACTTCACTAACAGTTGTCATTACAATACATTTTATTATTATAAAGTAATCATAATGTATATATATATTTACAAGTTTTCTGCATTTGTATACGTTAAAATAATGAGAAATAAAAACATAACTTCTGGGTAAAATGATTGAATTGCCCGCTACAAAGGTGGGTGTATGCTTGGTATGTTACAGTAATAAATAGCTAATCAGGGTTTCATGGCGCAAGTTTCGGCATCAAAATTTTTGAGGGGGCATATTTGAAGAATTTTTGAGAGGGGCAAATTTCGACTTCAGCAAAATTTATGAATTTTCGGAGTAAGAGACAAAGGGAAAAACATTGAACACACCGTAGCAAGTGTATTGTGAATTGTATTTGATCTACGATTTTTGCAATTCTTCGTTACCTTGCTCTGTTTTTTAGGAAAAGTGAGCAATAAAATATTTTGGTAGAGGGGAGAGTAGGTTCTTGCGTCATCGACCTTGGGGGGAGGAAGGAGATGGGCACCCTGTAGATAATAAATGTTACAGTAATGTGGTACCAAATACGACCAAGCGCTTATCCATGTTTTGCCAATAGGATAGGCTTCCGAATGTAATACGTGATTTGTAAAGTACTTCGTTTGAACTGGTGGTGCAAACTTTTTTCTTGAAACTTTACCAACTTTTTACTGCCATTCAGCTTAAAAAGAAAAAAAAAAACTTTTTTTACAGACTTTACTCCGAATCTTTTCCCCGTTTTGTTAACAAAAATAAGTATTTTTAGATTAAATTTTTCATAACTTCTCAACCAAGTTAGAATTGCTTAGTTAATTGCAAGGGTTTGTTATCTATTGGAAAATGATATTACCACGTGTATGCCAGAAATTTTCTGGTAGAGGTAGAAAAAAAGAAAAAAAAAAGAGAGAGCTAAGGAAGCCTGATTAAGGCGGCTGAATGTGTGCGAAGTTTGAAAAAAAAACTGTCATGCTTCCATTCACAAAAATTTAACATTTGTGTCATTCAAATAACCTCAATAGTAGAGGAACCCATTGATGATTCACTTCTACCCTATAGCGAATAAAGCTGATTCAATTCAGTGTAATCAGTGTTCAAAAAACGTTACATCACCTTTATCTACCGTGGACCTTTCCATTGCTCTCAATAAACATTTTTGGAAATAACAGTTAATTTATAATTAGGACATTAATTGCTGAATCAACGGATATCACAGCGTGACTGAGCGATAAGTGGATACTTGAACCTTCTCCGAGGTTTGGGCCATCTCGAGCTTTGATCGTGGCTGTATATATATACTGATACCTTGTAGGCCGAGCTACTCAGTCCTTCACGCACCTCAACATGAAATTGCAGATTTCTCTACTAGTGTATGTACAATATATCATTTATATATTCATCAATCAGTTCATTAATACATTAATTATTTGAAAATTTCTCTTGGTCCTACAATAGGGTAAGCGCACCATTGATGGGCATAGCTAAGGAACTTATGGCTTATGCCGCCGTAATTATTATAGTTATAAACTTCTCCGTTGGACATTTAGAATCTCCAGCGTCTCATTTTCTATTGAACACTTTGAAGCACAAAAAAATATTAAATTATGCAGTTATATTATCTCTTTTAAAAAAATACATCTTTTTGCACTAGTGATGGACAATCCGAATTTCAATTGTTCTAATAATGGACAGGGAGTCGGTACTAGTAACAGACATGCCTCTGAAAAATTCCAAAATCTTTATTTAACTACAAAGATAAGATAACATAAATGATCAATTTACTCTTAGTAAAACTGTTAGTAGGAAGGTATGAAACACACTAATCTCAAGAGCACAACAGAAACAACAATGATAGACATTTTAAAATTTTCTTTTGAGAATTTCGTTCATACATGAGAATTGTCAATAGATTGTAATGTTCTTCAATCTTGAAAAAACTGGAACCTTTCAATCAACACGGGAGCTTATTATTTACATTTAAAGTCCAACCTATTTAAAATCTAAGTTAGGTCCCCTGTCGATAACTGGTGCGTTCACCCTATCTGTTTAAGTCTATGAACAAATGAACATTTATATGAATATTTTATGACACTTTTTTTTAAAAGTTAACATTTTGATGTATCTATACTGTCTATAATAGGTTTTTGTAAATTTGGGCTATATTTATCAACGCAAAAATACTGAATGAACCGAAATAAAATAAAAAAAATACGGAACAAAGGACAATGCCGAATGACGTAAACTCGTTTATATATCAAATATGATTACAGTAAGATCAAAATATTCTGATATGACAGACGTAAATTTTTAAGTTCTTAGTGGTTTAATTTAATGGATTTTTATAGTAAAAAAAAAGGTTAAAAATAATGAAAAAAAAATTTTTTCTGGGACTACAGTCCCCTAAGAATAATAACACAGTTACATAATTAAGAACATTGGTATGGCTTAGGTGAATACAAAATGATGTTTAATTGACTGTTGATTGTTTTTGCAATTGTGCAGTTGATTGAATTAGACTTTGTACAGACGCAAGTGAATTTTACATGTTTGCGGAAGTTTGAATATGGAGTAGGTGGTGGAACAGGAGTTGTTTGAAGGAATTGGTTGACGAGGATTGACGTATAGGTAGAGAGCTCCAAAAGAAGGCAGCACGAATGACGAAGGATTTGCTGAAAGAAGTAGTTTTATGGGAAGGGATGTAAAAATCTATAGGTTGAGACCTGGTATTGAGAGAGTGGATAGAGAAACGTAATGTAAGGATTTCCAGGATGCAGGGAGAGTTTTTGGTTCTGAGGACTTGGAAAAGAAAAACGGTAAGGATGAATTGTAGCCGGGAAGTAGGATAAAGCCACTTCAACTCGGTGTAGTTGAATGAAACATGGGAGTGCTTGGTGATCCCAAATATGTATCTTATGAAACAGTTCACGAGCTTCTTTAATCTTATTTCTAGCTTGGTAGATAGCCCTCCATACACCAAGCAGGCGTAGTCGAAGTGGAGGATGAATATAAAGGAGGTTACAAGGAGCTGTCTGATTTTCAGAGGAATACAATCACGGAATCTTAGAAGTTGTTTATGGATTATGGATTGTTTATGGACTGTTGTTTTAAAGGACAGTTATGGATTTTCGGGTAATATGGGAAATATGGCTATTCCAGGAGAGGTTCTGGTCAAAGGTTATTCATAGGTTTTTGACGGTAGGAAATGATTAGAGCGGTTATTGAGGTAAAGTAGAAAAGGGAACTAATGAGATGTCCATAATAATCATCATCCGATGAGAATAGATTTCCGTTCTGTAAAATATATAAAGTTATGTATGTAAAATATATGCACAATTGTCTTGTATTTTTGTCGATTTATCAAACTAATCATCACAAATATCAGGTATACCCTTGGAGAATTATTTCAAAACTATAAATTATAAATTGTGAAATTACAAACAAACAAAAATGGATAATAAGCAGATATTCAACGGTAAGAGCACTATTTCAGAGGTTCCAAAGATTTTGATATTATTGTAATATTTTAATGGAGCATTTAACTGGATGAAATTTTCTAGAACATAGGTTGAAAATATTTATATTTCACTGTTTATCGTTTATAATTAATATTCCTTTGTACTTATTCCAGACTCGTGGCAGTGTTGGCTGCTCTAACATCGGCCTGGAATCCGCCGCCTGTGGTCGTTGGCCTTTGTAAACAACCTTCCATCATTGGGAACCTGAACCCACAACAAGTGAGTTATTATATTAAACATGACTTCATTCAAATATTGGTTTAATAGTAAATATTATATTAAATAAAGCGTAAAGGCTTAACTAACCCGAAGGTTCAAAGCTAATACTACAAATCGCATCCTAATACCTAAAAACCTCTGTACAAACCTTAAAACCTCCCATGTCTCTCACCACTACACTGAGTTAAGGTGGCTCTTCCCCTCCTTCCGAAGACAATATTTTCTAGGTACGTTCCTCTACCAAATCATCAACAACCATCGTCCTTCTTACGCCTACAACCTTCTCCAGTTCAAATCCTCAGTCCATTCCCTGTCCACAAGATCTCGACCTTCTGACCTTTACATGCCTTCTCACAGATCTGCCTCATTCCAAAATTCCTTTATTGTTCGCTCTGTCAATTTCTGGAATTCCCTCCCTATCAAAATTCGACATTCCCCCTCCATATCCACATTCAAATCCCTCCTATTCCAATTCCTTATCACAAAAACAGTCAGATACTTGCTAACCATTCGAGCGGATTTTAATAGAGAATTTGATACATTTTTATTTTTTAATTCTTTATTTTTTTCGGAAAAGTGTATACTGGTCTATAAGAGCAAATAGCTTTAAGTGTTTTGTCATAGTATTAATGGTTTTGTATATAGTTTAGTTTGTTTTGTATATAGAATTTTTACCTTATATTTTTTTTTACATTATTTCTTTTTTTCGATTGATTTTATTTTGGCCAGATGTAATATTTTAATTTTGTTCTCAGATCAGTAACGTCCGACCAGACTATCCTCCCATATGTATGGTTACTATGATTATCTTTTACAAGATTCCTTCCTCGCTGATCTCCACAACTTCTTTTGCCTATTTGAACTGTCACGAGGATACTACCTGAATTATATTTATCGGTTGTAGCCTTCCGAATCATCCTGTGAACACATCGTTCTCAAGACAAATGTTCAAAGTAAAACTTTATTTTCAAATACTATTATATATCCTTCATCGGTTAACAAACCAATAAAAAGGGATATGCAAAACATAGTCCGTGGAACAGATCCCTTTTTATCAAATTATTAACATAATTAAAAAATAATGAGCCGTTTGGCACGACTAAAACCCTCGGAATGTCAAAATAACGAGGTTAAATAGACCAAATAGCCCAATATTTTTGTAGATAACCTTTTTTCTAGATTTTGTGATAAAATTATCTTACGATTGAAGTGGAAAGCCAATGGCTATTTACGAGTTCTTATTGCCTAATTAAATAGATACAGTTTGCCCATTTTGTTAAAGTTTGTAGGTTACGATTAGATAAAGTTATTCACGAAGTTTCAGACGGATGTTAATAATTTGATAAAAAATTATCTAAACCACGGAATAAAACTCCCTTTGGGTGGATAGTATTTCCCGATTTCCGTAGTCTCTTTTTTTTTTTTTTAATTCATATATTTTTAAACTAAATGCTTCTAGTTCAAATACGACAGAGTGAGAAAAAAAATGTAAAGACATTTTTTGGATGAAAATTTTGAATCTGGAAACACTAGTATATTGGAACATTGATACAAGTACCCAATTACTTTCGCTTTAGGTATAGAGTTTATTGGAAAAGGCATTAATTATGCTTTATAATAACAAGCCAAGAGGAACGGAGATGTATACTGATAATAACATATCAATCAATCTGTAACTGGTGTGGACGGCTTCATGTAAATATCGTTTTCAAATTTTCGATATTATTTTATTTTCATTTATTTATTTATTTTTATGATATTTACAACTGTATTACAAATAAAAATACATTCACTAAATGTGAACACGAGAATATAATAACATGAAACCACTTGTTGAGAAACTACACACTGTTAACATTTTAAAAATATATTTACAAAAGGAGATCTCGAGGCCATCTTCTTTTCAGAAGGCTCGGATATTATTGTGATATTATTTAGTTGCTTATTACGTACCCTTGATTATTAAGTAATCCTCTGTTATTTAGATGATTATTATGTACTCGAGGTTATACATTCATAATGTACATGGAATAGGCACAGATAGTCCGAATTTATCGTGGGCGATAAATAAGTAAGGCAATAAATAAGTAATATTAATACACATATAATTATTGTAACATGGATTCTTAATAGAATTCGCATGAAGTTGGATTTAAAGCCAAAACTTTTTTTAATAAATGTTTTGTAAGTGGTAATAGTTAATTGTATGCTGATACATAATTTTGTTTCAGTTTTTCAATAAGAAGTGGTACATTTGGAAGAGCCACGGAGGAACCATCTTTGACAGAACTGGATCCTGTGCCGGCTTCGACAGTAAGACCCACGGCAACAAAGTAGAGATCCTCAACTTCCAATACGAGCCTCTGTGAGTCACCCATAATACTTATTTATCCACGATAAAAAATATAATACAAGATATTTTATTATAAAACAATAAGCCATCCCTAACTATAACAGCATTGCCCTTTCATTTGTTTATCAGCCGAATACTTATACTATTATTTTTACCTAATTAAAACAATCGGTGAAAAAAATACAAATTTTTGTATACACCCAGAGCCGGCCTTAGTCATTCGCCGCCTCCAGGCAATGACTAATAATTAGTTGTTTTTTTAAATAAAAAGACGAACTCCCAGAAATGTCAAATTCACTTCTCAAGGTCATAATTGAAGTATAAAAATCTATGAATGTAAATAAAACACGTTAATTTTCAAGCTCATTTTTTAATTCTAATAATTAGAAAAAATGAAGAAATTATTGATGACAAAATTTGTTTCAATAAACTGCATAATCTAAAATTACATAATTTAATTCAATAAAAATAGCAAACCTCTTATTTAATAAAACAGTGATATTATAAAAAAAAAATCTCTCCTTCCTCTTTTTCCTCCGCCACTCGTAATACAAGAAACAATGGTTTTAAAATTGTTCATATACTTTGCCTAAATTATTATTTAACCTATTTTACACGCCTTCATAATATTTTATATATATATATATATATATATATATATATATATATATATATATATATATATATATATAGATATATAATACATAATATAACTATATTATAATATAACTATAATATATAATATAACTATATATATATATATATGTATATATATATATATATATATATATATATATATATATATATATATATATATATATTACATAATATAACTATATTATAGTTATATTAAAATTCTTATAAATCATTTTAGGTTTGGAAAATATTTGACAGCAAAAGGAGAAGCCAATACTGACTTTATTCAGATGGAAGGCCTAAATTTTCCAGTAGATTACAGTATAGGAGGTATAAACTAGTTAATATTCTCAAATTTAAATATGTAGTCTAAATTTAAATATGTAGAAGTACTTTGATGACTTTTAACACGTCTCAGCGCGGTATACACTAGTGTGTAGTTAGCTAAAAAAATCATACATTTTTCTTTGCTACGATCAGTTTTACATCAATCATTCATAAATATTTTAAAATTGTTGATAAATTAAAAAATAGTTTATAATAATAATATTACAGTATTTATCTAATTTAATGCTTAACAGTCCACAAGATTTTGGTTTTTTTAATTATATAAAAAAATAAGTCGATCCCAAAATCTATATTTTCTGTCAATTAAACCCATTTGCAAAGATCCACCATCAGAACTTGAGTTGTGATTCAGATTATTGTTGAAAAATTATCTTAAGGTATCTATTACCGGCACACTTACCTTAGTGTGACATTAGTTGACATTGGCCTCCTTTATATAATAATCTGTATTTTGTCCTCCAGGACTTAACTTTACTCTGGGCTACAACATCCTCGGAACAGACTATGAGAATTGGGCTGCTGTCTACCTCTGCCAGCAACTGATTGGTATGAAGATAGGTGAGTGAAAAATTCGTTATTTTTTTATATATGTTTGTTAAGAAGAATTGTAGACGCAGCCTTTTATGTTTCAAACCTCACGTTACACACTGACCTTAACACTCCTTTCATCACGGCAACTGCCACTGACCGCTTTAATAATTTTCATGACAGACTGACTCTAAATTGCAATCCACTTACTCATGCTCTATCTACTGCCAAAAATCCATATAATCCGCCCAGAAGACTGCTGAGGCGCTGGCCAAGAGACTTGTTGCATTGAGCTACTTGCTGCATTATCTTTTCTTTTTTTGTGTGTTATTCTGTTAATATGTATGTGTTATTTTACTACTGTTCTTTTTTTTTTTTGGTTTTTTTTTTTTTTTGTCTTTCTGTTTTGTTATTACTATTTTTTTTTTCTTATGCTATCATTTCTTGTCCTCGATATCATATTTGCTGAATACCAATGTAGATGGCAAATTTATTGTGAGCCAGAAATATGTATATCTAATAAATAATAAATTTTTTTATTATATATTACTGAGAGTTGTTGTGTGATGATGAGCGGAGTATTTTAAAGACGATATTGTTTACTCACGTTAACCATGTTGTAGAACGGTCCTGGTTGCTGGTGAGAGACAAAGAAGCAACCTTAACACCTGAGCAACAGGCGGCGATATCGAAGAGCATTTCCAACGTCGCGTTCAGAATGGAAGACTACGAATTCAAGTACAACCGTAACTGTGGATCAGGTGAACCATCTCTCTAACTCTTCGAAGCCTCTCCATATGTTAATAATTACATAACTAATCCCTCTAATTTTATAAGTTATCATCGACTGCCTGAAAGATCTTTCATTGTATAATTTACTGACTGAGTGTGTGATAAATATGCCAATAATGAATATTTTGTATAATATATTTTTTATTGTTTCCTCAATTCAATGAATGTATGTGATGCAGAGCCAAAGTTCTCCTTCGGTATTTACTCTTTAATTTGCCGAAGTATTTGGGTCTAACAAGAGAAAAAGGTATAGAGGAGGCAGGGACAACCCGCTTCTGGCTGTCTCTGGAATATTTTATATTTCTATTAAAATAGTTTTTTCTCGTTGTGTGTACATAGAAATAATTTATAATTGACAATTAGCTGGTTTCATATTTTATAACACGCAAGTGCCACTACGAATTCAATATTAATATGTGATGTTGCATTTTAAGATCACATAAACATTAGTATTAGCAAGGATATACAAATATTGCACTAATAAGGACACAAAGGATAATTATATTGAATCATACTATAAGAATAACTTTTATTCTTTTGTATATATATGCGGAAAAGGTTAGCAGATGACTATCAAGTGTACAAGGCACACAGAAACTTGACACAAATAACAATTAGGCAAGCAAAATCCAAATAAAAAAAAAACTGTACCACTACAACCCATGAAGGGTCTTGGGTTCAATACTATTTAGAATAAGTACTGTTTTCAAAGTCAACGGTTGTGCAGGGAGGAGATCGGGCCAGGATCACGCTCAACCGCCAGGTTTTCCCCCTTAATCAATTATTTAATTAAGGATACCCACTTTGTAGAGGCTGGGTGTGCCCCAGGAGGGTCTCCCTACTCCAGGGTCGCTCCACGGTCAATTAAACAGAAATTATTCACAACTTGCGCCACAACCGCTCAATCAAACTCCTTTATAGCTCGCGGTGTCAATTTCTGGAATTCCCTACCTATCAAAATTCGCCATTCCCTCTCCATATCCATATTCGAAACCATCCTATTCCAATTCCTATCCCAAAAACGGTCAGATGCAGATGCTAAACTTTTGATATTATACATTTCTATTTAATCATTCATCATCAAACGATAATACTATTCTATACTGTAAACTTCACTAGCGATATTACAATATCTTCCTACTCTTAATGCCACTGAATGCATCTATTATTTATTTTTTATTCTTATATAATTAAATCTGTACCTATAATTAGAATTAGACAATGATGTGTCTACATATTATTCATTATTTAAATACTCTGACATTTTATATTGTCAGCTTTGTCTTCCCTTTGTTAGCAGAAACACACCTCATTTTAAAGAACTCAGTTTATTTATTTATTTTTATTTTATTTTTCAAAAGTGTATAATTATAATTGTTCCTACTGTACATAGTTTTAAGTGTTTTATCATTGTTTCAGTGTTTTGTATATAGATTTTATTTTTTATTATTATTTTTTTTTGTATATAGCGTGTTTGACTAATATTTTATTTACTTTCTCTTTTTTATTATTGTTTTATTTTGGCCAGATTTAGTCTTTTAATTATGTTCTATTTTGTTATTCTAAAGGGACTTTGTCCCAGATTAAAGTTATTTTCTATTCTATTTCTACAACCCTCCTCTGGGCACCCTTGTCATTCGAAACATATTCATGCAAATCTACGTTGGTAATATATAAAATAATTGAGTAATTGGTCATGCCCAGATCATCATCCTTAATGTTTGTAAGGTTTAAATCGCATATAGACCTTTTATAGATTAGAATTTTATTGTTAAACTTTTTCCTGCATACTATCGTTTATAAAGAATAAGTAAATGAACCATTCATCAAAATTAAAACAAAAGTGACTAAAAAATAAATGAATGAAGATGGGTATCCGCGGACGCTTTTAAAGAAGGATTGAATTTTTTAAATACTCACATCCCAGCGGGGTTGGTGTAATCCCAACCCCCAACGACCCATCGAGCCCTCGCGACTGGCACAGATCACATTCTACGCCCTGTCATTTATAAACCACACATAAAGCTCTACAATGTTATGTGTTTTCTTTTGTTTTTAAAATTGTTATAAATAAACAATTCCTCTAAAAACTTGCAATTTGAAGCTGACAAAATTTAATATTTTTCAATAGTGAAGATCTTGACAGTAGGTAATATGATTGGGGAGTTAGATAATTTTTTTTTGGTTGGGAGCTCAGTTAAGAGAGTCAGGGATAAAACAAAACCTAAAATAAAAAAAAAAAATCTGGCGTATCCACTCACGCCACTTTCCTACCTATTCAAAAGTTTTATATCTTTACACATTTTCATGAAAAAACAAAAAAAATTTAACTAGATTTATTTTCCTGGAAATTGATTAAAGAAAAGATTTGAGTACGATTTATTTGATAAAGGTAGATCAGTGTAAAAATTTAAATAATCTCTAATATTGCTGATCAAAAACTTTTTGCCATAGCTTAGTATTACAAAACAATAATTTCTGTTAAAAGTAGAGGAAATAGTGAAGCTTGTGTGATGCGGGCAACAGATTTTCTTACTTAATTTAGTACGAAAATTGAAAGGACAATTATTAGAACATTATAGGAAAGTTTCATCAAAATCGCTAGAGCCGTTTTCACGATACAATCTATAGAAAAACATGTTTTTCATTTAATGCGAGCAAGCTATTGCGCATGGAGCACCGAATTTCTATCACAGGCATCAGTATTCAAAACTCTATAAAATAAAAAAAGAAGCAACAAAATCGGTTCAGTAGTTCCCGAGGTAATCTTGGCACAGATAGACAGACAGACAGACCAATGTCTAAAAATGGGTTTTTCGGACTCAGGGGGCTCTGAAAGCCGATCCGAAATTTCCTGATTTATTGAATAAGTTCGCTGTAGATTGAACAAAGGGCCTTAGGTTTAAGGCTGCTTAATTCTTCCTCAAGTCTCGCAAATCTTCCTCATTTCACGGCAATGGATTCTGTGACTGTCGTCCTTATACATTTTTTACATACATGTAAGAATAGATCAATATAAGAAAACAAAAACCGAAAAAATATTCTGATATATAATAAATATTAACAACCTTCATGAGAGATTGGATATTGATTAAGATATCATATCTCTAAGGTGTAAGCCGTTACAAAGGTGTATTAAGGATCTGATTACCATCTTATTTCGGTAGATTATGTTATCAAACATAATTCAAAGCTCAGAAATCAATCAAACACTTAGTAATAGATAAATATAGTGTCAACACAGATAGAGGAACATACAAAACTCAACAAAATAAAATATATCCGCGGCTTATTTGCAAAAAGTCAATTAGTACATTTTTTTACAATTATCGGACCAATAAAAATTTCAGGGGTAATTAAAATCCAATTTTAGCCAACTGAGCAATTTCAGTTTTTCTCCAAATGAGAAACAAATGATTAAAGGACAACTAAAGTGTCGTCAATTTAGGTTAACCAAATAAATATCTGAGATACTTTGATCTGGATATCAGCCATCAACACTCCACATCATGATGGTTTTAACTAATAACCGATCATTAGTTTAATTTCAATTAACATTTTCCACTTCAAGAATAGGCCCGATGAGAGGGGGAATCAGCCTGGCCTACAAAATTTTATTTCCAAAATAAAATTAAAATAATGTATAGATAACATTACATGGATTATATAATAATGATCTCATATCTTCACATAATAATTTTTTAGTACTTTATGAAAAGCTTAAATTTTAATCGTATGTTTTAGTGGTAAATTTAATATTTGAGGGGGTTCGGAAAATTATCCTTGAGGTCTTCGTTTCTCTCCACGACCCTGTATAAGAATGCACAGAGGCTCAGTAAGTCCTAGAATATGTGTGATCGATCATGTTACCCAAATACTAATGCCGTTTATAATAGCTGTGATATAATAATTCAGCCATCGTATACACATTTTTAAGATGCATAATAAAGATAAAATAAGAATTAAATTTAATAATAATCCGTTGTCGCTTATTGTTTAACGCACTTAGCAAACAAAGGTAGAAAGTGTTGGCTATCTACAATACATCAACAAACTACTTCAACTATGGGAAGGGAAATTCCATGTTATTACCATGAAATAGTTATGACGAAAACTGAATAGCCAATGATGGCCTTTTAGATAGTTTAAAGACCTTCTGGATATTTTAATTTTTGCCCTGAATTATTAAAAAGTTATACAGTCTTTTTTGGATATCATGTGTAGCAATTTTTGTGTAGAATGTGCTATCTAAAGAGTTCTTTGATAATATTAATATCTATATTTTTTAAAAATAAACGCTGTTGGGCTCCAATTTATTTTTTAATTAAATCTAATAATGAAATTTTCAAACTTGCTATGCTCATTCCTGCTTGTTTTATGTCGGTGCGGACACCATTTTGCCAGTGTGATCTGGGTCTTCCTCTGGGTCCACCGGACATCCTTCTGTACGCATTAGAGGGCACCTACAGTCTTCCATCCTTGATATGATCAATCAATTTTAGTCTTTGCAACCTAGGGAAGTTTGCGATACTCAAATTCTGGTATTCGTCGTATAACTCGGCATTTCGGCGTAGACGCCAAACTTTGGTTTCTTTGACTGATACAAAGATCTCAGGATCTTCCTCTCGAAGCGATGAATCCTTTGTCCAACTGATTTGTAGAGCGTCCACGTATCGTAAGCGTAAGTTGCTATTGGCGTTATAAGATATTTGTACAGCCTTATTTTCGTTGAGGGACTATGAAGCCTGCTTCTTATAATTTTGGAAAGAGGAAAATATGCTTTGTTGGCTGCTGCTAATCTGCATCTTATTTCAGCTTCCTCTTCCATCTTTTTTAGTATTGTAGCTCCCAGATATTGGAAGCATGTAACATCAAAAGCCTATCCTCCGAATCTCACTTGTTGTTGTGGGGCCACGTCATTTAGGTTTTATTTGTATTCACTTTTAATTCTATATATTTCGCTTCATGCTCTATCTCACAGAAGACTTCCTCCACAGCTGTTTGTGATCTCCCAATAATTACTACGTCATTTGCATACGCTAGGATTTGTACTATTCTGGTAAATATTGTATAGCCATGGTTCAGTCCCACCTTGCTAACAATTCTAGGCAGTACTAGATTAAATAATATTATTTATTTATTTGGTATTTTGTTGCCTCTACCCTGTAGGGTCATTGGCAACGCCTTTACATTACACTCTGTTGCAGAGTTTTATCACTTTCGTTAACGATTTCGTCAGGGTCAGTTATAATGTCTTATCGATTAAATAATAGTGTAGCCAGTGCGTCACCCTTTCTTAGCCAGTTTGGATTCTAACAGCTGTAAAACAAATAGGTGTCTTCGAACGTGAATGAGTAAAGTGGGAATAACATATTGTTTAAATAGCCATACCATTATTTCCTAAGGATGATTGAACCCATCAAGAGGTGCGAGCTTATCACTGATTATGGACTGATAACCAACCACTCATCACGGATCATAAGTTCATCAAACAGCTACAGATCCACACCGATTTTAGTCACGTGGAGGCAGTACCCACATCGCCACCATCATGCTCAGGTATTCCCTCCAGATTTAACTTGTTAAGTATTCATGTGTTTGCCATCGTCCTTACGTTAACCATCACGTATGTCTTCATCTCAGTACATTGGATCACAATGTCTATCACTTACAATCTCTATTTAAGGATTTATTAATATCATAATATTAGTAGTGATTTCTTCTATAAGCTAAATGAAACAAGAAAAGGCGAGATTATTGAATTGGTTTAAAAGTCGGATTAATTATAATCATAAATCTGTTTTAGTACAAAATCTTAATCCACAATTGATTACATAAATCTAATTAACCATTATAAAACAAAAATATTTAAACATTAAGTTTAGTGTGTTCTGGTTTTTTAATGAATTTATGAAGTTTTATCTATTCAGCATTGCCCCAAATAAATGATACCGTACATTTGAAAATCGAAATTGACGAGATTCACATTACTATCAAACATGTTCCTTCGATCATGAAAAAGTTGAAGATGTCCAAATCAATATGTTCTAAACCATGAAAAAGATGAGCTGGAAAATTGCTTTAAAAAAATGTAGGCGAAGCCCTAAAGTTTTCCTGATTGAGAAGCAAAGAATCATTTTCATCCATCGGTCATCGCACGGCAAGGCAAAATACCGTTTTTTTCCCGGAGAAAATCTCCTGATTTTGCGGTCAAAATTCTGGAAAAAAAAATCGAATGTTTTATTTGGAATATTATATATATACATATATATATATTCTTTCATTCATTCATTGGACGATATAATTTCTTCACAAAAAGTGCGTTAAGTTTAATTTATACAGATCAGTGCAATTCCTCTTTGTATTCTCTTCATATACTTTTAAAAAAAATTAAATTAAAAGAAATGTCGATGATAAATAGAAAAACAAATCTAAATACAAATATTGATGTCTGTTATCTGTTTTATATCATCGGTTTATTGAGAGAAAGCGATTAAGTGACATTTAGCACATTAAATCACTGAGTAATCAAATGAATTTTCTGTCTGCGAAATCAAAACATTGTCAACTTATTGTAGGTACCTACTTTTGACATATCGTATGAGGGTTTATCTTGTTTAGGTGCATTCAATAGATTTTTTCATCGACATATATGATGTAAATTCACAATGTACTTAAAAATTCAGCTCTTTCAAAAATGTACTTAGTGACTTCTTTCGATGAACCGACGATATATTTCAAGGTACCGCACTCTACGGTGCGACGAAAAGTTTTATCTTTACCACTTGAATGAATGAATGAGAAATGTTTTATTAAATATGTATACATTATAAATTTCCAAATACAAAGAACATTTATATAGCATGAGTACTCGTCTGCTGGAAATGTTATATGTTTTACATGTACAGTACAAATAAAGATCTTTTAAGAGCTGCATATAAATGAATGACTGATAAATAATAAAACAACTAACACAATATAAAATAATAAATATTTTGAATAATTTATGTCTAAGAAATAATAATAAAGGAAAATATTGGAAATAATAAACAATAACATGAATAAAAGTGACCACAAATAAATTAGACGGATTGTTGTTTATTGAATATTTAATGGTTGACTGTTGCATTAAAAAGGAAGGAAATGGTCCAGAGTGGCGGTCATAAATAGGCTAAATAGTGGTAAAACTATTTTATTAAAAGTCAACGTTTCGACCCGACTTTGTAGGTTTTCTTCAGGGCTAGAGCAAACAAGATACAAAAAGATAGAGAATTGTGGAAGTTACATAATATTTAGACAAAAAATTATAAACAATGTCAATAAGCTTATTAAAATTATAAACAGTAAGTACATTAAAATATAAACAGAATAAGCTAAGTAACAAGATCATAAACTGAATTAAATAGATGGTAACAATTGTTGTAGTGTAATATATAATATATGCAAATGAGAATATACTTCTACAGATCTATAGGAGAGATTAAAAGAAAAGGAAAAAGGATGTAATATGAAATAATAGACATAAAGGTATGTGGAGAAAGAAAAGAAAACAAAAAAATTAAATAAATAAGTAAATAAAATTAAAGACTTACAGGTGTGTTCAGCTAGGAGTTTCACTTAGAACTGGAAAAACAGGGTAAGGGCAGGTATTGGGAAATTTGCTGACTTGTTTAGGTAAAACTGGGGTCTATTATTTCATATTATATCCTGGATCGAAAAAATCGACGAAAAAGATTCAACAAGGCAAACGACTTATTTCTTGCGCGGAGGCACTGTCCATCAAACCACATATTTTGTCGGATTATCTTTACCACTTGTTGCAGCTTAAGTAATTATTGAAAACTTCAAACTTTCAATGGTTATGAGTTTGCCTTTTTTAAAGCCGACATATATTTAAATACAGTGCAAGGAAATACAATCTCTGCAGCAAATCACTGGTTTTCTGAAGAAGGTTTGGTTTCTTTTTTGGAATTTGGGACTGCATTGTCAACTAATAATTGCTGTAGGCCAGAACCGCAATCCCCTCCAAATCTGCCTGGTATCTCAAGGCACCGAGTCAAAACAATAATACATCTTTCAAATTCTGAAACAAATTTCATTTGCACACGTAATAAAAGTCCACCTTCTCAAACGTATACCATAGATTAATGTTAGGTAGAACATTTTTATGAGGTACATCTTAAAGTTATTTTTCCAACGCAATTGTTTTTTGTTTTTTTTTTATTAATTTTTTGTGAGAGGCCTCTGGTTTGGGTCTCGCGGAACTATCCCAAAAAGAACAAGGAGCTTCCTCGAGGAACTAGGTGTCGACGTTAAGGACGTAGCGAGGTTGGCTGAAAATATAGTCCTCGACTCCCTGGGAATCATTCACCACCACGTGCATGGCTAGCCCGAGAGTTTTAATTTATGTATTTATTTAATGAATAATGAATAACAATAGAGATAAAGAAAGAGAATTGAGAGAAAGGGAAACTAAATGTTAAAAAAAAAAAGCATGAACAATGAAAGGAAGGAAAAAGGAAAAAAAAAAAAGGAAAAAAAATAAAATAATAAAAATGTATATATATGTATATCTATTTTACTAATATTAACTAATACTTCTGTATATTTATATATAAGTTCATATATTGTCCTAAGGATAGAAGAGTATGCTGTGTATATAGCAACCCAATATAATATAGCAACCCAGCAATCCTTTATATTTTATATTTTATGAAAATAAAGTGTTTCTCTCTACTTGGCGATGATGAACGCAGTACCAAATTTAGTCTCAATCTGTTTCAGAACAATTTTTACCTCCACTCTGGTGGTAATGGCAGTCGGTTACCAATACGACCAACCAGATAATAAGCTCGACGCACATCACCTGTCTTATGGGGATCGGATACCGTGGAAGAAGGGACTGTGCAAGAACGAGATGCAGATACTGCAGCCTGACTTTCAGGCCGAGAAGGTAAGTCCATCATGTAGGTGACTTTAACCCAATACTAGATACTTTGTCGTTTCAGGAGACTTTGAAAAGTCATAATGATATTTAATCACAGTGTTATTAACCAAGGACATACAATGTGTCCAATAATGCAGGATGTTTCGTAAGTAATTTTTTTAAAATAAATTAATATAAATAGGTAATAGGAGACGCCAAGAATTACTAAAAAAGTTGGATAAACTATGCCCTGATTTTGGGTAGCAATGCAAGAAATTAAAATTTCTAATTGGTAATTGGTTGACTGTCGTGGATAATGAAGAGAAGAATAGTTGGGGTGGTCAGTCAAAAAGGAAGGCAAAAATAAATGATATTTATAATATAATATAATATAATATTTATTTTTTTACATATGCCGACGTTTCGACCTGAAGTTCAGGCCTTCATCAGGGCTAAGAAAATAACCAGATAACAAGGTATGAGAAACATAAGTAATGATGGTAGTACTTCTTTTATTTATTTCTTATTTCAGCTTTCTCAATTTCTTCCCTCCTTCCTTTCATTCCTTTTCTCTGTTTTTTAACTCTTTATTATATTATACATTGTCTGTACATCTTTACAATATCTCAATTTTCTATCTAACTACTCCATTCTCAATGTTTTAATTTTACTATTTATTTTCATTTCTTATATAACTTCATATTTCTTTTTTATGTTTTACTTTTTATTCTAAGATTCCCATTGTAACACTTTTGTCACCCTTTTTGATTATGCTTACTTCATCGTTCCACACTTTGTAACGGTTTTTATTATTTATCTCTTAGTTCTTAGTCATTATTCTAACAATTTCATTTTACTTTATATTTATCTATTTTATTTTTCTAATTTTTATTTATTTATTTTTTATTTATTTTTATTATCTTTTTTACCATCATTACTTATGTTTCTCATACCTTGTTATCTGGTTATTTTCTTAGTCCTGATGAAGGCCTGAACTTCAGGTCGAAACGTCAGCATATGTAAAAAAATAAATATTATAATTTATTTTTGCCTTCCTTTTTGACTGACCACCCCAACTATTCTTCTCTTCATTCTAAATTAAAATTTCGTATTTTATAAACTAAGTCACGTTTTCTCTTCAATAGGATGCGATAACAAAAAAATATTTAAATTAGGTAATTAATAATTACTTCAAATTAAACTAGACAAAATTTATTTCCAAAGAAAGTATAGGTATTTTTAAGCGAATAAGCTGAGCTACGTTCTGTTTTCCATAAAACCATGGATTATTCGGAAAATTGTTTTTATAGTTCAACTTGAGCACAGATACCCACTTTTAGAATAAACGATATTATGTGGGTATTGTGCCTCTGTGAAGTATTTTAATTTTCCCAATTATGACTATTTCTGAAATAGAAAATGCTTTCCAGAATATATTTCCTCCATTGCGGACTGCATGGGAATGAAGTACCCAACCAACTAGCAAAGGAAGGCGCTGCATCTCCTCAAGTAACCTACACTCAGAGTTTCCAGGAGGCCATCTCTGTAAATAAAGCGGCTGTACGATAAAGCTGAGATAATGCCCATCCACATTATTGCCCTGAAAATTAATATAACAAAATGAGCAGTAAAGAGTAAATTTTGCTTTTTAGACTCAGGACGAGTCATAACAGGATGAGGCACACCTCAAAAAGAAATTCGAAGTTGGAAAAAGCCCTCACTCCAGTTGTAGAACAGAGGACCAAAACACATAGCATGTTCTTCCCGAATGCCCCCAAAGACTTGGCGATGAAGCTCTTCGGTGATTTGGAGTTCTCAGAAAGTTCATACTTTTAATCCCGGAAGTATTCATTTGAGGAAAGAACGAAAGAGGAAGAAATATATTTCTTGTAAATTCTTTAGATAAAAATATTCTCCTTCGGGAATAGAGTTACTTTCCTGGTATTTCTATATGTTTCAATATTCTATCCAAATGCAGCTCTAATTACCAACTTAATGAATAGATCGTTAACTAAATCAAATGATAATTAACTTTTCTAAAAACAAAAATAAATGATCAAAAACATTTAGTTGGTCACTTAATACAAAAAGGATCGATTTAAATAATAGAGAATTTGTAAAAAAAAAAAAAAAACTATGTTTCATTATAAGCTTAGATGATAACTTTTTGAAAATGCAGTATTTTTTACATATTTCATAAACAGTTTATTTTCATAAAAAAAAAAAGATTATTATTATTAGGTCACAGGAAAAAAATAAATCTTTATAATAACCTATCGTTGTAATTTTTGCTGAAAGCAAAAGTATTCTTGGGTGACAAAATATCAAATCACAAAATATTTTTACACAACGAAAGGTAAACTCAACTTATTCTGCAACAATCCTTAGCAAAACTGATATATACTTAAAAGGTATTAACAAAATAAAAATTCTAAATGAGTGATACATCTCCCTAGTTATGAAATTATAAAAAAATATAAATAATTTAAATAATATAAGCGAATAATCCATAATTTAATGAAAAACAACTAAGCGTTGCTTAGCTACTTAAAAGACTTTTTAAAATAGTTTTAGCAAGGGCAAACTCTACCATTATTTACAGGAAATTTTGTCTAATTTGCAGCGAAGTATTTTTTATTATTATTATTAAATGGCACTACATCCCAATTATTCGAGACTTGGCCTGCTCCAGCATGGATCTCCAGTTCTCCCGGTTAGTTTCAGCCTTCCAACTTCTGACACCAAGTAGTCTACATGAATCAGCAGCCACACAGCCTTGCCAGCGCTAACATCGTCTTCCCACTCGTCTGTTTCCAAACACAGACTCATTCATAGTTCTCTGTGGGGGTGCATTCATATCCATACGCGCGACAACGTAGTCTTGCCAGTACGATGAATTGGCTCACATCCAAGTCATTAAATAATGTCTTTATTTCTAAATTCGTTCTCCTCCTCCAGTTTTGTGGTGTTTCCTGGACCCCTACAAACATGCGTCGTATAATCCTCCTTTCAAATCTGAGCAGGGATTTCTCAACTGCTTTAGTTAAGGTCCAACTCTCACAGTCATATGTGAGCACTGGTCTAATAAGAATATTTGTTAATTGCCTAAATTAATTTATTTTTAGTTATCCTTCATATTCTAAAGAAAAATTGACACTTCAAAAACACAAAACTGGAATTTTGGCCTAAAATCAGACCGGATTTTATAAAAAAAATTTGTAGCTCTTAAGATCTAACTATTTACATGTTTTCCTTTATTTACTTTTGTCTTTTTTGTATATCTGTTAATTTAGAAAGCATAACACCGTATTAGCTTTAGTTATTAATCATACACATTAAACCTGTGATTGCTATCTCTTTCATTATTATATACATATATATATAAACCTTTTTTTTTTTTTATACTAAATATGTTCTTTTACAGTTCTTCTCCGGATATTGGTACGAAGAGAAGAGTATGGGAGCATTCTTCAGCCACCTCGACAGGAAGTGTATTACAATCCACAGTACTTACTTGGGCAACACCATCAACATGACAGTTTCTGAATATATTCCTCTGTAAGGTCACTTTGTATAATCAGTTATTTCGTCTGATTTGTTCGAGTCTAATGTGGCAGTTAAAGGTTTCCTTAGTGTAGCTTATTATCGTGCTCCAATACATCCTCTCATTCTCAGCACTGGTTAGAAAAATTTACAAAGGAATGAAGTTCTTGAATAGGGCTCATTCAGTCTCGTGAAAATAAAACAGGATCAGGTGTACCCAAAGGAATATATATATATACACATATGCATATACATAGCTTAATTTGGGTCATCAAAACGTTTGAGGTGGTAAATTGCACCGTTTTTAAATAAAGAAAAATAATAAATTTTCTTGGGAAGTGGGGTATGGGCCATCGCCCTTGGGGAGATGGACATTCATGACAAGTGGTGATAGGAAAGTAATAGTTAAAACAGTAAGCGCCTTAATTTATATTTTATGGAAATGAAATGTACCTAGGTATAAAGACGAAATAACACTTTTAAAAATACATACATGTATGAAAAAAAAATATTAAAATACTCTATCGAGGAAATTAACAAGATTTTATAGTTTTTTATTTTCAAATCATTCTTTACAATACAAATAACAATGTAATAGTTTATCTCTATACCACCTTCTATTTACGTATTTGCTCTTATCTTCTCTTATTTCATTGATTGTTGTGTGAAAGATAAAATAATAGTAATAGTAGCGTGGAGAGTTGGTGTATTATTTACAAAATCTATTTGAAAACATTTTGTGTTCGGCAATGAATCCTGAATAAAAATGTTCTGTTCTTCATTCATAATTTTCAAAACAAAATTAGATCCGATTAAACATTGTCTGTTACTAAACTACACACAATTTGGCGAAGTTTTAATTCATAAGAACTTGGAGGAACAGACCACATAAAGAGTACTTGTATACAAACTACAATTGTTATGATTATACAACTTTTGCTTCCACTTTCAAGTAGAGGAGAGCACTCAAATTTCGACTTTGGGGTGGGGATGGGTGACCTTCTACAAGATATTTTTCCCTTATTAAAAATAATACTAAAATAAATAAATATTATTATACTTTAAGATGAAGTTTAATAGTTTATTAAAACCATCTGAAGTACATACCTAATTCTTAGGTCATCAATATGCAACATAACATTTAAGACTTACCTGCTGCTTTCGATTTATCTCTTTCAGAATATTTTCAACGGTGTGCCAAAACATTGTGGTCACACTGGAAGACATTAAGAGGCCCGTATTCAACCTTACGATTCCATTCATTGGTAAGAGTCCAAGGCTTATTTTGAAATCTGATCCTTATATCATTAATTGTACATAAACAAGCTTTTGTTGAAAACAAGCGATTGAATAAGAACTTGTAATCAATTTTGATTAAAAAAAAATTGTATTAAAAAAACCCGACTACAGATATTGGAAAATTCTATCAATGCTAGGGGAATGTACTTCCATACCTACTTAAAGGTTTTTGTAGGCTGATAAGGAAATTGACATCTACAAATATTTAAACTTCTTGTAATAGTCGGGTGGCTGTCACTACACATTAAGGCTCCAGGCAAACAGATTACGACCCATGTATAAGAATCTTAAGTTTCGTTAAGAGTGTGCTGCGCATAGGTTCGGGTTTTGAAGAGCGTAGAGAAGACAGAAAACATTTCTTTAATTTTTTGGGAATAACCAAACACTATGAGCTTTATCAAAATTATTATTCTATATAAAGTAATTCGAAGTTTTTTTCTACGAGTTTGGTGGTGGATTTTTGATCAGATTTTTTTCCAAAAGATCCCTTTTTTCATAAATTCATTAATATTATTAGTGACGCAAAGATATAAATTTAACAGATTAGATGGGTGCAGAAAACTTCCCTATATATGAAAATACTTATTTGACCTTTAAGTAAGTAGGTAAATAAAAGTTATGTGATGCGTGCACCGCACCAGATTTTTAAATTGCCAAGTAGCGGACGCCCTTCTTCAGGGTGGCGCATCCGATTGTATACCCGGTTGCCTTGCACAAAGGCCGGCCTGTGTGAACTAATCCTAGATATTATGGATCCTAAACATACCTGAGAAAGATTTAACTCTATAGATAAAAATAATTTAAGCTGCTTTATGACATTTTATTAATGTTTATTTTTTGCCCAAAACTTGTAATTTCTAACAGTATTCATACATTAGTGTATTAGTACTATAAATACAATATAAGTCAAAAAACATAACTGAAAGCGAACCTATATTTTGCAGGAATGACTATCATCAATATGCCAGTATCTATCCTTTCCACGGATTATGATAATTACGCCTTGGTTTATTCCTGTTCCCCTTCCCCTCTGGGTCTAGATGGGTACATCACAGGTAAGTACAAAAAAAAAAATATATATATATATATATTTATTTTTATTTTTAGAATTTAAAGTAGTTCTTCATTTTCTAGAAATGGCTTTCGTCCTGAGAAGAAAGAGGGGAGATAAGAGCAATGGTCTCTTTATCAGAGCAAACGCATGGAAGAACGGTCTTAAATACGAAGAGTTCGTCGATCAAGATAACACAAGATGTCCAAAAACTTAAATGTATAATAAATATGTTGTTAAATTGATAAACTGTAGGTTGTTGTAATACAGTATAACTTCGCCTTCACAAACAAGTGCTTGTTAGAAGCAATCATTCCAGTACTTGTCACAAAATTGAAACAGGTTAATGTTATATTTCAAAAGAAAAGTTAAATATACCTAAAGTTAAATTAGATAATATCCTTGTTATGATGCTATATCAACTTCATTGCTGCTTTATAATTTATACATTTTATATCTCAGTTTGAGTTGGGCTAACTAGCAGAGGGTCTATAAAAATACATTGCCTATTAGACCCACTTGGGTGGGATACCAACCGCACATTGATACTTAATATCTTCTGCAGGGAGAGGGGATAGTACATACAGTTATTACAGTTATCTGTTGTATACCCATACTCGTGGGATCAAAAATGTACAGTAACCCAAAACTTAGACTAACTGATATCATTGGTAATGACCTGAATTAGGACGTGGACAATCTACTGGATATTCTGGAAGGAGGGGCAAAAGGGCAAGGGTCAGTGAAGTCTTCAATGGACCCATCTAAGGAAACATCTAGGAGCTCCATCTAGGAGATCTTCTCGGCTTCATTATATATCACGGAGAACTTGGTTACTTCATCTAAGAGTGTCGCATCTTGGACAGTTACGCCACATCCTCAGGTGTAGGTGAAACTATCAGACCCAAGCTTTCTGTTACACAGAGGAAGTGCCATATTATGGTAGCATAACACTAATGCAAGTAAGCCTAGAGCTCTCCTCAGAAAATTACAAAGGCTTGTGTGGCTTATGGCAACTAGTTTTATGAGTCCCACTCCTAGTGGTACTATGGACGTTCTTTTGAATGTAATACTATTAATAGGAATAGAATCACAAGGACATATAACCGCATACAGGATTGTAAATTAGGAACAAGATCTAAATTCCTGACTTAACATAAGAAATGGGATCCTGTTTATTATAATTATTTTTTTTATCCTTCCCTTCCTCGCCTTTCCGGAGAATTAATCTGGCGTTTAACCCGGACTGGTACCGGAACACGAATACATAATTATTTTATCATGTTATAATCAGTTTATCAGGTTGACGGGTTACGCATGTTTTGCACACGCTATCTCACCTATTTTTCATCTAACAGCACACCCGCTTCAAAATGGATCTTGTTTGAAAGGGTTGACAAGAAGGAAAGTCTTGGCATAGCACTCTTAATTCCAAGTCATACTTCATCATTTCGTGTATGGGGTTGTTCTAGAGATACACTAAACCTATTCTAACCAAAGTGGGAAAGTCATTCCACGGTTCCGTCAAGAAAATAAATTTCAGCCCGCTCAGCCCGGAGTCGATACGGGCCTGTTTTAACAGAAAATGGATAAAAGTAATATTTTTTCTTTTCTGAAAAATGCTAAACATGATTATAAATTGAGCAAGTTGTTGATGATTAAGAAAACAAATAATTTACACCTCTAAAATAAAAATAAAAATACACATTACAATTCGCTGAACAAAATAAAACAAATACGATAATCACAATATTACTCAATTCTTCTTCGGTGCATACTATTATTTTCAAGTCAATTTATTACTAGCCATATTTACACCAATTTAAAAAAAATTGTTGGCACTCAATGACCACTCATCAAAATGACGACGTTTCGGCTCGTCGAGCCATTTTCAAGTCTAAAAAAATTTTTTCATTTACAATCATATATTAAATTTTAACATATTTCAAATTATAAAGATACTTATTATGTACCTAAAATACCCATCATGTACCTGTCAATTTCACTTATGCGAATTGCAAGCGTCTACAATATAATAAAATTCATTATTATTGTCATGTTCACCTTTAATTATTTAACAACATTATTATTACTCATCTTTACTATTCCATGATTCAAACTAAGTTAAATTTACCATGTTTCTGAGTCACCCGCATGTCATCCATCTCATTTCTATTCAGTGACTGGTTATTCTTATAGGAGTAGGGGAAGACTATTTATTATGAACATATATAATGCTGTTACTCAATATTACATGTGGATCTATTTTAAGTAATATTAGCTGATTTATTTCAAATTTTGATTTTTTCAATAGAACTAGCATAAAAAGTATTCATATTATCCACGTCTGTATGATTATTTACTGAGTTTTTTAAGTTCTTAGTTATGTATATTGATTCTTTAATTCTACGTTTATTCGTATTTCTTTCATTATGTAGGATTTTGGCATTTTTGAAATCAAACTCATGTTTAGTTTGCATATTATGTTGTGAGAGTCCAGTAGCTAATTTAATTTTTGTGTTTTTTGAATTACAATTTTGTTTATGCTGTTTAAGCCTTTTTTCAAACCATTGGGATGTTTGTCCAAAATATGCTTTGTTGTCGCAATTCTTACAATTTATTTTATAAATAATATTCGTTAATTTATCGATAGGTACTTTATCTTTAGTTTTCGAATAAATTGTATCTAATTTATTAATTGGTTTGCTTGCAAATTTAATTTCATTTACATCGTATTGTTTAAATGTTCTTTCAATTTTATCAGTTAAGTTTCTAATATATGAGACGCTAAAATATTTTTTAGGTTGTTGTTTGTTCCCATTACATTTTTCAATTTGTGTCTTAATGTCATGTTTATCGTTCATGGAAGGTTTTTGTTTTATTGCATTTTCAGTTTTAAAATAATTTGTTATTAAATTCGGTTCTTTATTAATTTTAATATTTTGCTTCACTTTCTCACTCCTATCATTGCTAATGTCAATAATCTGTTTGTTACTATTGTCATTTATAATTAACTTTTTATTTTCATACCATAATTTATTAATTAATCGAATGGGGTACCAATTTTCTAATAGAATTTGATATATTTGTGCTTTGATTTCTTTTATATGGTTTTGATCTGTTATTAATTTTGCCTTATTTATTAAATTTTTAGCTGTGTTAATTATTATATGTTTCTTGTGGTTACTGTGCCAGTTTAGGATTCTATCACTAGTTATTGTTTTTTTGCACCATGCCGTGCTAAGATCGCCGCTTTCATTTCTGTGAATATACATATCAAGATATCTTATTATAAAATACGTTGACGATATACTTGCAATAATAAATAAAAATGAATCTGTTAATTTTCTGGACAAACTAAATTATATATCAGATAAACTAAAATTCACAATGGAATTGGAGAATAACAACAAAATAAGATATCTTGATATGTATATTCACAGAAATGAAAGCGGCGATCTTAGCACGGCATGGTGCAAAAAAACAATAACTAGTGATAGAATCCTAAACTGGCACAGTAACCACAAGAAACATATAATAATTAACACAGCTAAAAATTTAATAAATAAGGCAATCATATATTTCATTTACAATCATATATTAAATTTTAACATATTTCAAATTATAAAGATACTTATTATGTACCTAAAATACCCATCATGTACCTGTCAATTTCACTTATGCGAATTGCAAGCGTCTACAATATAATAAAATTCATTATTATTGTCATGTTCACCTTTAATTATTTAACAACATTATTATTACTCATCTTTACTATTCCATGATTCAAACTAAGTTAAATTTACCATGTTTCTGAGTCACCCACATGTCATCCATCTCATTTCTATTCAGTGACTGGTTATTCTTATAGGAGTAGGGGAAGACTATTTATTATGAACATATATAATGCTGTTACTCAATATTACATGTGGATCTATTTTAAGTAATATTAGCTGATTTATTTCAAATTTTGATTTTTTCAATAGAACTAGCATAAAAAGTATTCATATTATCCACGTCTGTATGATTATTTACTGAGTTTTTTAAGTTCTTAGTTATGTATATTGATTCTTTAATTCTACGTTTATTCGTATTTCTTTCATTATGTAGGATTTTGGCATTTTTGAAATCAAACTCATGTTTAGTTTGCATATTATGTTGTGAGAGTCCAGTAGCTAATTTAATTTTTGTGTTTTTTGAATTACAATTTTGTTTATGCTGTTTAAGCCTTTTTTCAAACCATTGGGATGTTTGTCCAAAATATGCTTTGTTGTCGCAATTCTTACAATTTATTTTATAAATAATATTCGTTAATTTATCGATAGGTACTTTATCTTTAGTTTTCGAATAAATTGTATCTAATTTATTAATTGGTTTGCTTGCAAATTTAATTTCATTTACATCGTATTGTTTAAATGTTCTTTCAATTTTATCAGTTAAGTTTCTAATATATGAGACGCTAAAATATTTTTTAGGTTGTTGTTTGTTCCCATTACATTTTTCAATTTGTGTCTTAATGTCATGTTTATCGTTCATGGAAGGTTTTTGTTTTATTGCATTTTCAGTTTTAAAATAATTTGTTATTAAATTCGGTTCTTTATTAATTTTAATATTTTGCTTCACTTTCTCACTCCTATCATTGCTAATGTCAATAATCTGTTTGTTACTATTGTCATTTATAATTAACTTTTTATTTTCATACCATAATTTATTAATTAATCGAATGGGGTACCAATTTTCTAATAGAATTTGATATATTTGTGCTTTGATTTCTTTTATATGGTTTTGATCTGTTATTAATTTTGCCTTATTTATTAAATTTTTAGCTGTGTTAATTATTATATGTTTCTTGTGGTTACTGTGCCAGTTTAGGATTCTATCACTAGTTATTGTTTTTTTGCACCATGCCGTGCTAAGATCGCCGCTTTCATTTCTGTGAATATACATATCAAGATATCTTATTTTGTTGTTATTCTCCAATTCCATTGTGAATTTTAGTTTATCTGATATATAATTTAGTTTATCCAGAAAATTAACAGATTCATTTTTATTTATTATTGCAAGTATATCGTCAATGTATTTTATAATAAGCTTCGGTTTTTTTCCCCATTTAATTATAGCATTATCTATTAGATTGTTCAGATATATGCCCGAAAGATTGATTGACATACATCCGCCCATCGGTAGACCATTTTTCATTTTGTAATAATTATTATTATAGGAGAAATAGCCATTTTCGCAAATTAATTTGATT